AAGAGCGTCAAAGTTGCCCTGCGGATAGCTTTTCGAAAGATGAAGAGCATCTTGAGCAACTCTTGCGCTCGACTTGATTCCTACTCTTACAGCAAACGCGCCCAATGTCATGCTAGGGAGTAATGATATGGACCATGCCCCGTAAGGCACGCCGCCCCTTGTCGTAGCGCTCATTACACTAATCGCTTGACCAACGAGTCACATTGCGCGAGCCTGGGAATTTATGAAGGCTGGTCAGCACTTGATCATCAAGCTGATGGTACTGAGATGATCCAATAGGGTATCTGCGTTGGCCAAACGTCGTGGACATCAAGCAAAAGTCGGTAACTAGCGCATTAATAGTAGGAAGAGCTCTCAATTTTTCGGCCGAACGCCTGGTTGACGGAGAAACTGTCTCCAATCAGAAAGAGTCCAGTGTCCCATGCCTATTGAAAGTGGCGAAGGTGTTCGCGATGAGGTCAAACAAGCTTTGAGCTCCCATGTCCTCCTTATCTCTCGGTGAACAGAACGCAAGAAGTACAAAACATCTTCTGAGGCCTTGACTGCTCTCGTCGTAGCTGGGGCTTCGTTCTGCCGGTTGGGCAACGAAATGACGATATTAGAGGCATTCAGAAGCACCGTTCAATGAAATCACGTAGCTAAAAACCCGTAGCGTCGATACCGCGTTTTGCTACGTGTTTTGAAAATAGTATTGCTGCTTCAGAACTACCGTTCAAGTAAAAACACGTAATAGAAACACGTATCTAGCCAGAGTGAATGTTCACGTATCTAGCCAGAGTGAATGTTCAACTCACAATAGCAACTTCAACGTTGATACCCGAACTAAGGCACTCAAGCTAATGAAGAGGCCTCGGTCTGCTGACGACGACGATGAAGTTTTGCTACTCTGGTTGATGCGACCAGCGTCCCTGCCGTACCGAGAGCGCATCCTTGTCCCTGAGTTTCGCCTGAACATCCTTGCAATGTCTGACAAGGAAGCGAAAGACCAGTTTCGCTTCACTGTGGGGGAACTACATCTACTTGCGCGCCATCTGAAGCTTCCAAATATCATTCGTACACGGGAGGGAGTACGCACTAACTCCCTCGAGGCGCTGACCGTTTGCTTACGCCGTCTGGCATATTCACAGCGCTGGCTGGATATGGCTGGAATGTTTGGCAGGGCCCCGTCAGCCTTGTGCCACATTTTCTACTTTGTTGTCGAGTTCATCGACAAGAATTTAGGAAATATGATCTACTGGGACGAAGAGCGAATTATCAGCAACTTGGATCGATACTGTGCGGCGATATCTGCCAAGGAGCCATTGGGGATCGAAGGTGTTTGGGGCTTTATTGACGGCACTATTCGCCCAATTTGTCGGCCGAGCAAAGGTCAACAAGCTATGTACAATGGTCGCAAGAGAGTTCACGCACTCAAGTTCCAGACTGTTGTCACCCCGGATGGACTTATTTTGCATCTTTTTGGTCCCGTTGATGGCCGTCGCCATGATTTGTTCATGTTGAACGAGAGCGGATTCAAGGATGTACTCGAGAAGAACTCGAATTTCCACAACAAGCTGATCTATGGTGACCCAGCGTACGGATGTACAAACGTGTTCTGCTGTCCGTTTAAAGGCTGCCGTGTTGACGTCCCCCAACACGAACTGAATAAGGCGATGAGCGCTATTAGAGTGTCGGTTGAGTGGTCATATGGAGAAGTAACCAAATACTTTTCGTTCCTCGACTTCAAGCGCCATCAGCAAATTGCCACAACACCAACCGCCACCCTCTACAAGCTCGGAGTTCTATTCACAAACTGCATCACAATTGCTCGAGGAGGAAACAACAACTCAAAGTATTTTTCGTGCAAGCCACCAACATTCGACGAGTATTTTTGCTCTTATCAAAATGCAGACCAGTAGTTACTCCACGCGTAAGGAAATCCAACTAGTAATGACCAGGATCACAGCAATAGATCCACGTAAAAAAGCTGCGGCCTTACACCAGCGTTTGCGTAATGATATCCCCGGAGGTCTTCTGGGCATCAAGTTGAAGTTTCAGAAGAGCAAGCTCTTCTTTACGTAGCTCCATGTCAGCTCGCCGTAGCGCAACCTCTTCACTCCATTTTTTATCACTCCTATCAGCTTCAGCTTTGCGGAAATCAAACTCTTTCTTCCATCGCTGCTCTTCATTCTCCGCCTTTACTCGCTTAAAAGCGAGCTCTTGTTGCAGCAACTCGTGTTCATCCTTATGGCGCTTGCGCTGTCTCTCAATGAACTTGACTGTTGCTGCGTTGACTTGAGCAGTTGTGACACCACCACCAGATTTAGTAGAGTCTGTCGAAGACCGATTAACTGATTCTTCTTCATCTAACGATGATTCATCCGCACTCTCCTCACAGTCACTGCGTTCATCTTGCATTGTCTGGGCTCGCTGGCAACGGCGGTTTATAGCTTGGTGTCGAAGCCTTTCACCTGCGGATTCAAGCCGATCCGACTTATCTTGAACTGCTTTCTTCTTTTTCGTTTTTTCATCTTGAAGATCACGCATAGCATCATTGATGTCTTGAAGTAGTTGTTTATGCTCGGTGTACTCCTCCGCCACCCCCGACTTCCTCCGATATTGATTGTCTGTCGTTTTGAAATCCTTGAGGAGAAGAAAAAAACGTTCTTTGATAGTTCTCAAGCTCAACTCCTCGCCCAAATGCTCGTTAAAATTGTCTGCCACGTCTTGGTAACGAGCCGTGACGGATCCGTGCTTTGCGGCATAAGGCTGGACGCTCAAAATCTCCCTAAGCAATGCCAAGTCATCTCCAGTCGTAAAATGAAACTTTTTCGCCTGCTTGGACTCCTTCTTGTTGCTGTTGGGAGCGCTGGTCTTCTTTTTACCCTTGCTACTCTTCCGTGGGGTCTTTCCATGCGCTCTAGCGCCGCCAGTGAGTTGATTATCACTCGTAGAAGCAGCAGAAGAAGTCCACAAAGTGCGCGACTGCGTCGGCAAGCCAAGGGCAATCACGCAGTTGTGCGAGCACACTCGCACGGAGAGATCTCCTTCGTAGATGGCGTTAGAGCATATATGATGGACCTTCTTAGAGCAGGATGAACACTTGGTGACGTCTACGTCGTCCTCTTCCGTGAAAGCGCAGTCTGAGAACGAGCACTTGCCTCGCATTGGCAGGATCTGCAGCGCGGTCGTCTGCGTTGCTTTGGAATCTGAAGGACGGTAAGAGAGCCCTCAGCTACCGCTCGACGGAAGCCAAAAACACGTACGTTGCGCTGGAAATTTCAGCGTGGACCACACTACGTGGTTTTCAATACCGAATTTTTAAAATAACGGTGCTTCTGAATGCCTCTATTAAGTGACCCCCACGGGCAGAGGTTCCGAAAATGCTATTTTTATTGAGACTGGCAAAACAGCAATAAAATTAATTTTAAGTGCTTGGAGCACCACGGGTGCAAAAATTATTGGTGTTATTGCATGCAATATACAGTGGTCTGATACTCGTCTAGTTGGTGGGAGCCTCACCACGCACAACCTTCCGGACTGTGGCAGCGTTCCAGTAGGCTCAGTTCAGCGACCAACCATCAAAATGAGAGGACAAGAGCGCGGCAGATCGATCGTAGATTGCGGTTTAGCTGGACCGCTGGTCTGTAGGGCTTCATCAGCCCGGTTAAAGGTTATTGCCTGGAGAGACCGCAGAATAAATTATTCGATTTTGAAATGGGAGCTCGAAAATAAAATATTTTACTGCAAAATAAAAAATATATTTAATAAAAATAACATTTTCGGAACCCCTGCCCACGGCTCGTCTACCAGCCATAACTTATCACATGTTCGATATACTCAGAGCTGCAGCCAAAATCGACTCCATCTTGGCGCTCGTTCTGACAAGAGGACGCTCACAGAATCTGGTCGATCACACACCACTCAATCCATCGGACTGCATTACGGTCCGACAACGCTCGATTAGAGGCGAAACCTGTCTAATAGAGAACTGTAGTTTCTGGAGTTGGAGTAAGGAATATCTAAGCAAAATCCGGATTAGCAAAAAAAAAAGATTTCCGTGTGGATATTATTGAGAAGCTCCAATACAAAACTCCAGTGGAGTTATGAGGGCACCAAGGAGTCTATTTTTAGAGCAACGTTTTGTAAACTTATAACCTCGGATAGCTTCAAAAACTACAGTCTCTAATTCCTGTTGTGGTTGCCTTTACGTCCATCCCAGCGCTGGTTGAGGGCTACGGTCAGGGATGGCATATTTCCAGGGAAGGACCTGCTGGGAATTAAGTGGGAATTGAATGGGAATTGAACTTTTTGTACCGGTACCTTGGCAGTAGTCGCATAGATGCTGCGAAGTAGAGATGGTTTGTCTTGATGAAAGAAAGCAGGTTATCGGTACCGAATCGGTGAATACCGTTGGCCCAGAAATTCCCACTTTGGTAGCCGGGAATTGGACTGGTGACAAATTCGAAAACCCGCCGTTGCCAACCCAGCTACGGTACATGTCGTTTCCTCGAGTTGGAATTCATTTTTTGTGCTGAAGACCTTTAATCAATTATACATTCCTCTCTCTTATCTACACGAACCGACGAACTTGCCGTATGTTTACTCTTATTACCACAGAACCGGGATCCAAAACCCGCATACACCTCCTATAACCAATAATTACAAACTCGTGCCATTCTAACTTGAACAGTTTTGCCTTACAAAAAATTTTAAATTCCTGCAGCAATACATACCCTTTCCGATATCATCGTGTTGCCAAAAGCGCAGCTGCAATACCCCCATCGCCAAATGCTTCCCTGCGCAATCCCTCCAGTGTCAGACTCACAGAAAACCAGCCGCTCAGTTTTCGTTCACAGGACCGCGGACGCCACGGCGAGCGAGAGTTCAAGACAAAGTTGCCAGCCTCGCTGTAGCACGTGCCTAACATAACGGCTACAGCGAGTGGACCCATCGCATTGCGTCCGTCACGCAGATTACGTGCCTCGCTTTGGAGTGGTCATCAACACCCACACACGCCCATGATGTACTCGCCGGAATTGTCAATGGCACTGGCCCATCGTCAGCGTCGTCGCGTCAGTACCAGCGCCCGTAAGCGCTCTCTGACTGAAGGAGCGATGATCGGAGCCAGTAGCCGACCCAGTGGCAGTGGCCGCAGCCTCCGTTTGAGCGGCCGCAAGAGCAACGGCATGGAGAATGAAATGGAGGACGCACAAGTTCCACCGGCCATTAAATACCTGGAACAAGTGGCCCTCGAAATGTCAGTGACAAAGAAACATACCGACGTGCGATACGTCATGACGGTGCGGCATCAGGAGCTCAACGTGGCCTGGCGTCTGGCAAGGTCCTTCGACGAATGCCGCAAGTTGCAACAGCGATTGCTCAAGAAACTCCAGCACGGCCATTTCTGCGACGCCGATTGTCCATGGTTGTATGGATTTCTAAAGAGTTATTTCCCCAAGAAGATCGTCTTCACCTTCTCTAGCTCTCGCGTGGTCGAGCAGCGCAAACAAACACTCGAGAGGTTCTTCGCGGCACTGTACGGGTTCCTAACAGACCATAAGAATTTCAGTTGCTCCGTGGTTATGACAGTGTTCGCAGACGAACTGGTCGAGTTCATTTACGGCGATGCATTGCAGCAATACGGACTAGAAAACCCCATTAAGTCGGATATACAAGACACGATGAGGAGGAGTGAAGGCTACAGCTCCCACTGGGAAGCGCCCGAGTCGCCCCACAAGTTGCAGCTGCTTCATCGAGAACCCGAGCGACAGTTCAGCAGACAGTCGTCGCTCACCAATTCGATCCGTGGGTCCATGGCGGACGACGACATTGTGAACGATCTGAATTCTGGCGACTGTGGGATTTGCGGCTCCCTGTTGTGTGGTGTCGCCAATGGCAACGGCAGTTCGTCGGGTCTTACAGGCTCGAGTTTGTCGCTTTCAGATAACGACAGTAACAGGTCCATCAACAGCACGGGATCGAACAGTGGCGTCTTCACTCCTCCATGGCTGGGGAACCAGAAGAGTGCCAATAGCTTCAGTGGCTCTCGACGAAGTGCCAGTCGACGACGAGCTGCGACGTACTACTTGACGACGCTGAGTTGCGGCCACCAATTCCACGACGAGTGCATCGTGCCGAAACTCAACGAGTCGTTAAAATGCCCCACCTGTGGACGCATACAAAACAACAATTAAGTCGCCACTGCGGCACAGTATGAGCCACGTAGATACGGGACAACGGGCGTCGGCGAGTTTGTTCATTGCCGTATATTAGACCCCTGTTAGCAAATGTTTGCAGCTTTATTTTTTGCCACTTCTGGGTTGTTGATCTAAACCGACCATTTTTAGCAGCTCCCATGTCAGCAATTTATCGCTCAATTGGTGCTGTGGCGGTTGGACATATTTGATTGAATCTAACGACAAGTTCAAATTCTTCGAGCATTTCCAAAATCAGAATTAAAAAATTGACGAATGTCGTAATTCCAGAAAGAATGATAACAACATGTTTTTGTATTGGCCAAAGCTCTGTTAAATGGAATGCTGCTTGAATGAGAATAGAGCACTGTGTCTTGGCTTTCGTCGATCCGTGATGTTTGCTTGAGCACATCAAGCCACTTCGTCAACCACGCTTCGATATAGAAGTCCGTTGGCGGTTCGGTGGCGTAATTAGAAATAGTTTTCTCCTGAATTGCGAATTTCCTCGCAAATAGACCATTTTCATTTTATTCCTGCATCTGCAGAACAACCGCGATGGCGCTTTCATAAGTACAAAGTCACAAACGGTTCTGATGGACGGAGCTATCGCTTCCAGCAGAATTTGTGCAGGGGGAGGAGCAACCCGACACAGCTACTGTACCCCGTTACTAAAGTTTGGGACCTATAAACAGTCGTATGCATTCTTTCAACTTACTTGAAGTACTTCGAAGTATATCATTTGGAGGAAGTATATCATTTCTTCCGATGCAAATACCAAGTGGCGTCACCCCAAGCTTCCTGGGTGACAGTCAGTTGCCTCAAAACTGAGAAGTTTTGCGTATCTGGCAATTTGTGTGTTGCCGTGATGACAATCGCTCCGGGCTTGCAACTTAGTGCGAGCTTCCTCGCGAACGCGTACATTAACCGTTCGCCAAAGCACGTCGAGTTGAGGAAAACCAGATCCACATTGGCCGGCCAGTCCGCAGCGAGTGCGTCTCCTTGAGTGAACGAAATTCTCGTTCGCTTCTTCTGCATAGACAGCGCGAAATTCGGCTTGATAATTTTCTCCCAGCGTTGCAAAACCTCTTGGGAAATGCAGTGAAGACCTTCCAGCACTTCAATGCCGTAGCAAGCGTCAAAATCGTGCAATAAAGCTGCAGCGAAGACTGCTTTACCACTTCCCGACCCAATATCCAGGAAACTACCTCCAGGTTTGTTCAACACGTGGTGCCATCGTTTCAGCACGTCCAGCACGACTTTGAACGGCTCGAAGGCGATCTCGCCGTACACGAGACTCATGGAGATAAACTCGCGGTCGCGACGTTCCTCTCGCGAAGCTTTCTTCGATACTTGAAGCGGGTGTTCCAGATACAAAGTCTCAAATATGTGGGATAATGAGGCCATTGTCTCCTCGGACAGCGCTGAGACGACAACAGGTTGCTTCGAAATCATTGGTACCTGTTTGTCATCGTCGTTATCTTCGCGCTCTTCCGCTTGATCTTCAGGCTCTGATTCCTTCTTCATCGGAACACTTAAGTCGAACTTGGCATTGTTATGCTGCATTAACGCCATGCCCACCGCTTGACGCTTTAGAAATGATCTTTGACGTTGAGTCAGCGAACGGCCACCATAATAAGATCAAGTGAGCGGTTGAAACGACGCTTTATTTCCACGCAAGACTCGTCGAAGAACGAGATCTGTCGTGAGTTACTAAGCGCGCTTCAGCACTTGAGATGCCTAACGCACACGTTATGGACAGCCGAAGCTCACTACGTCAACTGCATCAGCAGCTTGGGGACTTAAGTCTAGCAGGCCACGCGATGGTAGGGTCACTACGGACGAATGGCTTAACCCTGAACATACAGGATAAGCGTGCCACTCCTCCTCTGCCTTCGCTCCCGCCGTGGGCTGGCACCAACCAGTCCTTACAGAAACGTCGTGATAGTCGTGAGGAGCACATCCAGGTAGAAGCACTTCCGAGTGTTTCGCAACCTGTAGGATGGAGGAAACCTCGACCCTACTTCATGCAACTGAAGCAACTCTCTACTAACGATCCCAACGTCGAGGAAAACCAAAAAGACCACGAAAACGAAGTGCCAGAAGATCACCAACCAACTGAAAACCAACAGGCCGAGTCTGTGCCTTATGACCCTAATCCGGGTCAACATACTGATATGATGAAAGTGACCTGTCGAGCAGATGAAGAGGACGAGGCGACGAGCAGTGGGAGTGGGAGTGAACCAAACCAGCAAGAACACAGAACCCCACTACGTCGATCGCCTCTACGAGGTCAGTTCATCCGTCCCTGGAAGATAATTCCTCCAGATGAAGGTACCAATGAAGACTGGTCGCCATCGTCATCCAATAAGTGGAAGGAGCGAGCCATTTTAGACCCTTTTGCAAGGCGTCGAACACGACTCAAGAGCATCCAACCTCGATCGAGAACGCAATCACCTCCTGAGTTACCCCCTCCAGGTCGAGTTTCCGAGCTTCCGAGGGTCCAATCGCCCATAAAACGCTCAAACGAGCTTAAATCTACTCCGAGAGTGTCCTCAGTATCAATCTCACCTCGTCCGAAAGCACCACCCACTCCACTTAACCCTCTACGCCTGTCCTCAGCTGATAAAATACGAGCTGGACTGCGTCCAAGCTCACCCCCACGCACTCTCCACTCCGCCCGAGACAGGCTATCGCGAGACAGCTTAACAGAAGAACAAAAACAGGATAAGCAGGAGTCCGAGAGGTTATCTCCACTAACCTGTCAAAGACAGGCTAAGGCGATTAACCGACCTCTAAAGCCGAAAAAGTCGACTATGAACGCTCTAAACGAGATCAAACGCAAACGAGAAGCTCGTCGTGCGCAACAGGCCGAAGAGAAGCGTCGAGTGGAAAAAGAACTGAAAGAACACGGCGATGACGCAGGTTATAAATTTCGACGGTTAATTCAACAATACCGCGACGCACTTCCTCCCACTCAACAGCAACAAGAAACGCTGCAGCAATTACCTTTGCTGTCATTAACCGCATCCATACAGCCTCCACCGACGCCAGCGACGCTAGTTAAAGCAGCAGAAGCCCCCCGACTCTCGGTCTTTATTCGTAAGCGTCCTCTAGCCAAGAAAGAACGCAAGAAAAAGGGCTACGACATCATCTCGTGTTTATTCGCTTCACAGGATGAAAGCGCCAACAAAACACGTCGAGAACTCGTGTGTCATGAACCGAAACTCCGCGTGGACTTGTCCGAGACGCTGGAGAACCATCAGTTCCGTTTTGACGGGGTTTTCGACGAATGGCAAGAGAACAGCAAGATCTACGACGCCACGGTTGGACCCATGGTACCGTATCTCGTCTCGGAAGCGACTGCCTCGAACGATACCACCAGCCTCACAGTGTTTGCGTACGGCCAAACTGGCTCGGGCAAGACGTACACTATGAAGTCCATTTATCGACAAGCTGCAGTGGATTTATTTCATCATCTTGATGAGCTAAAAGCAACTTCGAGTCGACGCAACTCGCGTATCACTGCGGGGGTGAGTTTCTATGAGATTTATATGAATAATGTCAACGACTTGCTCAATGGACGAGCACGTGTGCAGCTTATGGAGGACGGTGATGGCGCAGTACAGTTGCCCGGACTGAAAGAACTACCCGCTACCAATGCGGATGAACTGCTTGAGCTTGTTCAACGTGGAGAACAAGCACGAGCCACGAGCGCCAATGCTGTCCACGATGATTCTTCTCGCTCGCACGCTTTACTGCGGGTGACGTTGTATGCCGAAGACCATAACGCGGCCCTGGCAAGACTCTCCATGGTCGATCTGGCTGGTAGTGAGCGTGCAAGTGACACTCAGAGCGACAAGAAGAACACGAGAATGGAAGGAGCGGAGATCAACAAGAGCTTGTTGGCGCTTAAGGAATGCATCCGCGCGCTGGATCGAGGTGCAACTCACATTCCCTTCCGTCAAAGCAAACTTACGCAACTCCTCCGCGACAGCTTCCTTTCGCAAAACTCCAAGACGATCATGATCGCCACTATTTCACCTTGCTCAGAAAGCTGCAACCACACTCTCAACACGTTGCGCTACGCCGATAGGCTAAAGGAGATTGGTGCGGCCAGCTAATTATGCTAGTTCTCGTCATGTAAGAAAATATCACCTTTCAACAAAAAAAAGGATATACTCAAAATAGAAATTTTGGACATTCGAGTTATGTTCGATGCCTCAGCCACTAGAACAAGCGGTAGGTAATGGCGGCGATAAGAGCAAGAGCACTGCTCGAGGTCGGTTGCGCCCCCTTCCTTCGATTCCTTTGCAATGTTTGGTCCCAATCGAAGGCAAACTGTCCACGGTAAGTTTAATGTCTACGGTTATATTTGCAATAGTAATGTAAACTTTATGCTTTTGCAGGACGCCGATTTATCAGCTCGGAATGTCACTCATCGATCTCCCGAGTTGTTCAAAGAGATTGTCGCCAAGTCTTCGCAGATTTTGAAGAAAAAAGTATCCACTCCAAGTTACAATGCACTGGGTGCATTAGGCCTGCAGATGGGAAGCGGAGGTTCTGTATCAAGTGCTCAACATTCGGTGTCGACGCAGTTCAGTCGAGGCTACGCGTACTACCGTTTGCAGCAATATGCTCAAGCTGCTGAAGATTTCCTGGAGTGTTCACGCAGTGATCCGGATCATGCCGCGTCCGCACTGTACAACCGCGGCTGCGCGTTGTACAAATTGAGGCGACATGCTGAAGCAGTCAAGGACTTGAGCAAAGCACTGAAACTGGATTCGAAGAATCCGCTTTTTGTCGAAAGTCGAGCTCGAGTTCTCAAGGAAATGGGGAGATTCAAAGAAGCCATCTTCGACTACTCTTGGCTCGAAACACTTCGTCATCCGACGGCTTCACCGAATGATTCACACCAGAATCTCCTACTTGAGACTCCAGTAGAACCTCCCAATTCTTCAGCCGCGTTGGCGTATGAAGCCCAAGAAAGCAGTGCGAAAGCTTGGCTCGAACAGTTCTTAAACCAGAATCCAGGAAGAACACGTAGTCGAAGTGATGTGGCTGAAGCAGCACGGCTAGCTCGTTGTTGGGGATTTTTCCGCGGCATGCGACTGGCTATGGTCGAGCGATGTATGAGGGAGGCCACGTACTACCGCTTCGAGAATGACCAAATTGTCGTCGAACAAGGAAGGTTTTCGTCAAGTTTCCACGTTGTGCTGGATGATGTAGCGTCACTAGTGAAGACTATTACGTTCCAGGGTCCAAGTCTGCGCGAGCTTAACACACTGTACCAAGGTGATACAATTAGCCTTGAGCCGTCAAGCGCGACAAACGCTGACGGTCGACTTGTCATGCTTCGAAATCGAGCGCAACGACAGCAAATGCTGCGTCCTCGTATGGGCTCAATCAGCTCCCCACTACTGCCATCAATGCGTTCATTGAGTGGCTTTCAACTAAACGGGTTGGGCGCTGCAGCTCGGACAGCTCCGAACACGCTACGTCCGAAAGAACTGGCCACTTTTTCCTGTATGGGCGAGGTGAGCTGCATGCTGTTGGATGTGGATATTTACTTGAATATCCTACGGGAACACGAGGAACGAGTGCTGGAAGAGCGGCTGCAATTCCTGCATCGCTGTCACGCTTTCGGGACGTGTTCCGAAGAAATGCTGACAGCTCTTGCTGCAGTTTCCGGATCAACACTTGTCGATCCGAATAAAGACGCATTGAAAGCTGGCGAGGTGGTGAAGCAGCTCTATGTTATCAAGAAAGGGGTATGTCACGTGGTGAAGACGATCGCGTTTCCGAACTCTACGCATCGGACTTTGGTACCGTCCAGACTCGGAGGTAGCAAGTCCGAAGACGCGCTTACGTCTCGCTCGAGTGATGGTTCTTGGGTGCTGGACAACGGCTGGATGCTTACGAACCCTCGGCTTGTTAGCAATGCACAAGCGCTCGTTGCTGCAAAGCAGCAACGCTCGGAGGAAGTGACGGTCGCTGTGCTTGCGACTGGTCAACTTTTTGGAGAGCTGAGCGTCTTGCAGCCAGGGCAACACTCGCCCGTCACTGTTCGCACTCAGACGCTCGTCGAGTTGCTTGTCTTTGAAGAGGAAGACTTGAGTCAATTACGAGTGCAGTATATGAGTGGCACGATGAATTCGTTGCAGGAATCGCTGCTGTTTCATAACCCTCCGCAGCAGAAACTGACACAGCTTCGCTGCGATCTGACACACTGGACGCGTGAGAAGCGCAGTGTGCTGGAAGACCTTTTCCCTCCGGACTCGCCAGTGACAAAGTCCCCGAAAAAGAGTCCGAAGAACAAGAAAGCACCAAAGGCAAAGAAGACAGAGCTACCAGCTACGAAGGCTGCTGTAACCTCTCATCCTCGTCCTTTGACGTCACCGAGCAATAAACCAGCGAGGAAGAAGGAGCAAAACCCTCGTAGGAGCATGATTTACTAGAATTTCGATTGCACAAACGCAGTGTACGCTTTCTCTCAGTAATGCAAGTTGACAACATGGTAGAATTCAGGTCTCAAAGATTATATCAGTTGATCATTGAGAAAGCGTGACGAGATATGTAGTTGTACTACTGCTACATGCTGGAGGGTTCCCATCAACAAGAAAATCGTCCACAGTATCGGCCCGAGCACCGCGCCCCGAAGAGCATCGATGACCCCCCAGGCCTAATTGACGGATCTCAAACTTTAATTAATCATCGGGAACACCGTCGAGACAACCACTTTCTTCCAACTCTGCAAAAGTCACAATGAGCTTTTGACTGTCTTGAATGAGTTTGGGTGGAGCAGCGGCGCTGGACTTTTTACGACATTTTTACGGACACCCTTCAAGTTTTTACCAAAAACATTCGCGACACCGTTGTTAAGCTTGGACGACATAGTGCAAGGCCCCACGCGCATGCAGCGTTCGCGAGCGCTCGTTCACCGCGTTCCGAGCCAAACACCCGTACGATCTGCGCGCAGAAAGACCTGTGACGACTGCAGTTAAAATAAAGACTGGAGAGCAAGAAAGGGTCGAGACTGTGCCAGCCTCAAGTGTCGCTACCGCCAAGCAGGTTTCCACGATGCAGGTTACGACTTGTGCGCAGCTTAAGCCAAGCGAGCTGTGAAGCGTCCGAGAGGAGGCAAGCCACAGGTTAAGAGACAGCAAATGAAGCGTATTCGACGTCGCAGCAGCGGGAACACACCAAGTCGTTCGCCTCACTCGTCCCAGGACGACGAACCTGAGGTAACTTTGCTCGAAGCCGTGAGTTTGCTAGAAAAGCTGCTTGGAGCGTTCGATGAAGGTGCTAGAAGTTCATGTGCTCTAGCCTAGAACACATGCTCCTGACGCCTACAAACATCGTCGGTTGCCTTTGCAAAGGCAATCTCGAGATGGCTGGTATTGTTGACGTTGCCTCGGGTGTCGGCAAGATGATCGGGTCATTTCGCCTTCGGCTTCGTCGCTCTCAATGCAATCCGTCAGCCTCGTATCCGAGCTCGTCTTGGATGAACACGCCGCGGTTCAACGCGCGTTGGCTTCGCAGTTCCAGGCGTACGCAACAGCTCTAACAAGGAACCAGCTTAACGACATCATTCTCGCTCGTTGTCCGACGATGCCTGTTGTCCCAAGCGTCAGCTCTACATAGGCGGTCCTGGATGCTCTAAGCGAAGAATACGAACGCAGCGTGCTGTCCATGCGACTTGTGGAGTGTTACGGCTCCGCTGACACGCCCGTCGGAGGAGCTGTTCGTGGGGCTCCTCGAACACTTTGACGTGCGCGGTCTTCTTCTTCAGCTCTGGCTTGGCGAACAGAGCTGCGGCTTCGGGCCATCTACCGGGAATACCAGCGGTGTGAGCGGATCGCTCATGGCCAAGAACCGAGGGCTGCTGGAGCCGACGAAGAGTCCGACCCCGAACGTCACGGCGGTGATGGTCTCCACGATTACGGTGTCCAAGTCGACGACGATGGAGTTCTGGATGACAACGGCGACGCTCGTCGAAGGCGGGATCGGTCTGTTCAATTCAGAAACAGACCACAGCTTAGATGCCGACCACCAAGACGGTCGAGCCGCTGTTGTCGGTCAAAACGCAGAAGCTGTAGCAGGTCAAGATGACGGAAGGCTGGACAATAACAACGCAACGCGCAAGAGACCCCGCGATGCTAAATGGATTGAACAATGCTTCGCTTCAACGCCAATTAGGCTTCAATGCGCTAAGTTTTCGCCAAAGTTACCGAATCTTTGCACTAAAGTTGCCGAATCGGATGCCGAAGTTGCTAAAAGTTTCAATGAGACCTCTCATAACGCCTAATAAATCTAAAATATTTCTATCCACAGTCTTGCTAAGCGCGGCGGACTGAGCCTTACAAACTTTAAGTCAAAGAATCGAGCGGCCCGCACAGCCGCACACTCAAGTCAAAGTAGTCTAGCAGCATGATCTCCACCGCCGTCAAGGGCCTCGCCAAGCAGGGCAAGCGCTCCATGAGCACTATCCGCTACGCGGAGCTCGGCCACCCTCTCTCCGTCCTCAAGTACGTCGCGGCCATCGCGAGTGTCGTCTTGGCCAGGAGTTTGTATCGCTAATTAATCGTCATTTGTTGCCAGGACGGAGGCCGACGACAAGGAGGCGGCTCCGGCGCAGGGCCAAGTGGCGCTGAAGTTCCTGGCCGCGCCTATCAATGTGGCCGATCTTTCCCAGATCCAGGGCGCTTATGCTATCAAGCCCAAGCTCCCGGCCGTGGCCGGCAATGAGGGTGTGGCCATCGTTACGGCTGTGGGCTCCGGCGTCACCAACGTCAAGGTCAATGACCGCGTCATCCCCACGGGTGCCGGCTTCGGTGCGTGCTTTCCGCTTAAGTATAGTTTTTTTCAAGACAATTTAATAGTTTTTTAATGCACAGGTACATGGCGCAGCAAGGCGGTGGCCGACAGCGCCGATGTGATGAAAGTCTCGGACAAGATCAAGGTGGAGGACGCCGCCACGCTGGCCGTGAACCCGGCGACGGCCTACCGCATGCTGGCCGACTTCACGACGCTCAGCAAGGGCGACGTGGTGATCCAGAACGGCGCCAACAGCGCCGTGGGCCAGGCCGTCATCCAACTGGCCGCTCTGCGTGGCATTAAGACCATCAACATCATTCGCGACGACGGCGAGTATGATGAGACAGTGGAACACCTCAAGTCCCTTGGCGCCGACATCGTTTGCACGGCCGACTACGCTGGCTCGGCCAAGTTCAAGGAGCTCATCTCGGACCTGCCGGCCCCCAAGCTCGCGCTCAACTGCGTGGGCGGCAAGACCAGCTTAGAGATGGCCAAGGTGCTGGCCAAGAAGGGTGTGCACGTCACGTACGGCGGCATGGGCAAGGAGGCCGTGGCCGTGGGCACGGGCTCGCTCATCTTCCACGACATCACGCTTAAGGGTTTCTGGCTCAGCCAGTGGGTCAAGGACTCGACCGTCGAGGAGCGTGCTGCTATGCTCTCGGAGCTCGCAGGCCTGGTGGAGGCCGGCAAGCTGCGCACCTGGATTCAGACATATAAGTTCGAGGACTTTGACGACGCGCTGCAGGCCGCCGTCGCCCGCACAACGAAGCGCAAGGTCGTGCTGCTCATGGAGTAAGTAGACCTTGTTTTTAGTGTCGTACGTCGAGGACAGGGACGCTAGCTAGCTGATAGCGACTGCGGACATAAAAGACCAAGAGAGGGAAGCCCACAATCAACAGAGCAATGAATGGCCGACCTGAATACGAGTGAGAAATGGATAAAATGTGCACTCCCGCTGTCGGCCGTCAACAACGCATTGTCTTCGTTTAGCTTTTAGCTCCCGTCTAATGGTAGAGCAGGGTGAGGTGGTCGTCACCTGTAGTTGAAGCGGTCTTCTCCATGGCCAATCGCCGAGGCAGGCCGCGCTGCACTTCTTGACTATCAACTGTCACTTTGTCCTTCGTAAAGAGCTGCAGTGCTTGGCCCAAAGCGGCCACAGCCTCATAGGTGCCGGACAGGTCTCGGCCGGGCTTGTATCCCTTGGCCAGCAGCAGGTGGGAACGTGGCCACTGCTCCACCTTGATCAAATGCAGGAAGGCACTGAGCCACGGGTCCTTGACCTCCCAGGACGGATCGGCCAGTGACAGTTTAGCATCCTTCTCTACGTGGCCATTCAGGCCACTGTAGAACACGTTGAGGCCGCCTTCCTTGGCGTACGGCAAGTGCAGGGCCGCTAGGATCGTGAGCTCCTGGACATCGGCCTGACTAAGAGCGGAGACTAGAGCATCGGCCAGCTCCCACCGCTGTGAGGCCTGCAGCTCGGCAGTGTTTACTGTAATGGCCATCGCTTGGTTGCCTGGCCACTGGAAGATCTGCACGAAGGTGCTCAGTTCTGCAGTGAGCAGCGTTTCGACTGTCGCTTGGGGTACCGGAAGAGCTTGGGCGCCATCGAATTTAGCAAAGTGCAGGACATCTACACGGGAGAAAAAGGTATGAGCAGGGAGACCAAAAAGAGAGGATATTGATGCAGAAGGATGAAGAGAAGCACGCACGCTTGCCGGCCCGGGACAAGTCGTCGAAGGCGAGATATACCCGAGAAGCTAAGGATGGTGCCGGCATATTGACAACTTTTGTGAGCATACTGTACGTTTGTCCGTACCGGTAATCTTCCGGATAGTTTTATATTGATAAAATTGTAAATTCTTTTGCAAAACAAAATCATTTCTTGTAAGAAGCACAAATTTTGTTTAAAAGTACTTTTCCTGCCACATAAAAGTAAAACAACCGTAGAACCCAACTTTGTGTAGCAATTCATTCTTAATCATCTTGCTAACTAAGGTAGTGTCCACAGGTACTACATTTAGCACACCAGCAGCAATTTTTGTTATCTCAAGTCCTGATTTTCTCAAAACGCACAGAATGTGATTTCATCTTTCTAGCTTACGATGGTCTCACTGCTACGTCGAACACGAGCTCTTTACGATGTTACCATTCTAAGACAATTGACACATTAAAGGCTGTGAAGCTGTCAAATTAATGTTTTCATTTCTTAATAATCAGCCAGAACAGATCGCCTCTGCTGTCTTTTGGCACTGCGTTGGATCGATTCCAAAGGTAGCTGGCAGCCTAGTAAACTGAAAAGGGTTTTCGCCTTCGGTACTGGAGATTTTCAGCTTGTAAGAGCCATACGAACTACGCGTTCGGCACGCGTAAATTTCCGGGGCATCGTTGAGTTTCGCCTTACCCGCCAGAGCATCGTCTGAGCTTGACCCCGTAGGAGCAACAGCAAGTACGTACGAGCCTTTCTTAAGTGATGTAGTCTTATGAGGATCACGGAAACTGACCGAGCCACCAGCCATGAAATCATTTACGTTGCTGTCGTCGACAAAAAAAGTATTTGTTGAACTGTCCTTGGGAAAGAGATACATGACCGAATCCAGGTACGACGCCCGGCAGTCTCCATTCAGGTCCACGAACGTGTCGTCATCGGCGATCTCTGCTGAAACTACAGCGAAAGAAACGATGGTATCTTTTGTCAGAGTAAACTCCACTTTATCAATCGTAACGAAGCCCGAAGCCAGGATAATGGCCCCATCAAGCGTCAGACGTGGAGTTAAAGACAGCGCTGCTTCGTGGACTGGTGGGATGTACTCTGGGATTCGTTCAATGTTTTCGAAACTATTCGATCCATCGTCGATACCGTCAAATTCTGCCAGATTTATACCTTGTGTAGCCAAATCATCGACAATATCTTTCGCGGGAATCCCAGTATTTGCGCACATTTCGCCACAATGATGAAGTGCCACGACGCCATGATCCGAGAACGATATTACCGGGGACCCGGATGATCCAGTCTGCGTATCACCACTGTACGAATACCCCTCCGTCCCACAAGTACTAGCACTCAAACTCAGTAAAGCAACGTTGCTAGCGTAGTCATCTTCAACAGCAATGCGTTTATTCTTGCCCATCGGATGCTGAGGGATGTACAGCTGTTCTCCAACCACTCCGGAACGAGTCTTTAACCGTAGATACCCATAACTCTGAGCCGCCTCAACACCGCTTGTCGGTAGCTTCAGCAACGCGTAGTCAAGCTCCTTGCTGGCGTGTACCAGTTCAGTCGATATAGCCACCACACCACCTTCACATTCGCCCAATGCGCACGAGAAACTATCGCTACAAGACTTGTCCTCCGCCATAAACTCCACCCTGGTGCCGCTAGCTTTTTCATCAGTGGAGACACAATGATAATTGGTCATAATGTGACCTTGGTTACCAAGTAGCCAGCCCGTACAACTGGCCCATTCTCCGGATCCTTTCGGGATCTTCAGGCGCGCGACAGAGCGTGAAGCCAAATACGCCGTCCGTGTAGTGTTCTCAGCGTAGTAGCAGATAGCGTTCTTCGTATTATCCGCAGCGCAGATCGACGCACCGGTAGCGACAATGGGGTCCTTGGCATTCATGAGAACGTAATCGTACGAATCCACCACAAAGCCAAAGCATTTCGAGTCGCTGTCGGCTACACTGAAGACATTTCCAATGAAATCCGTCTCGTCGATGTCACTGGAGCCGACTTCGTCGCGGTAGAATTCGATCCGAAACTCTTTTGTGAGAACTGGAGGTGCTACCACGTTGCCGTAGTTTCGGCCACTGGGGTAGTTTGTGGAGAGGTTTAACGTTCGATCCGGGGTGTCAAAACCTTCAACTGCGCGAAGCACAACATAGACCCCATTTGGCATCCAGAGTTTACTAAAGCGAAGCCCCACATGGGCATATCCGCTGCCTTTTGTTAGTGTAAACGACCGGAATGGAGTCGCACTTCCTGGTGTCGCGCTGTCGAACGCGTGCTGAAATTCCGGACACCCCATTCCTAGATTGACCGACCGGGAGGTGGACTCAGCGTTAGGAGGTGCTAAGTCTATCATCTCAACTGTAGGATCATCCGTCTCCATAGGGGTGAAGGCGACACTGTGGTCATTGGACCTAAAGGTTGTTGGGTTGGTCGCGTAGGCCGTCATGAACAGAACCATGAGGAGGGAAGCACCCAGCACTCTGTATCGGTGTTGTCTACTTCTATCGTCGCTTGGGGGCTCGACATCTAGTCGATGCGGAACTCTTGCCACGTCGTCCATTTCTGCAGATGCAGCGGTGGTCTTTGTCTCTTTGAGAGCGAAAGCTCCACGACAAGACTTCGGAATTCATACTTTTTCTGGGTATATCAATAGGAGGACAAGAAAAGCACGAGGACCGTTGAACATTTTGAGTTTCTTAGCTACTAAGTGTCTCTTTGCGGCTCATGTTTTCCATATTTAACCCTGGTTTCTTCACTCGTAAAAATTGAACTAGTCGATTTGTTTTTCGCCAGTGAATTGTTTTAGAAGTCAATCTTTCGTGAAACATGTACACTTATCTAAATGAAGAGAATGTAAAAGTGCCTGAGTCATCTTATCGACTCTTGAGTCCTTTGAAAAAGTGAGAGCTCCATCCAAGTCCGACCCTGGACGTTGGACACCACTCCAAGTGTTTTTACGACGTTTATGGATACATGTTGGACAAGACTTGCAGTAGCATCGACAGCTGTGAGCGCGAACCATATCCAGCCTGCAATGGAAAAGAAGCAGAAGGACGAGTCTTCTACCGACTGAGCAATCGTTGGTCGGCGAATTCGTCAAATAAATCTCGGTATACAGTAGTTTGCAAGCGTTCAAACAATTCGAAGCACAGTCCAGCTGACCAAACGCAGTTTGCTGTGATACCAGAACTCGCTCAACACGGGATTGAATTGTTAGAAAGAACTGAACTTCCGCACGAAAGATAACCACGCGAAAGATTGAAGCGCTGTCGTCGTTTATAGCAATGGTGTTCTCCAGCGACACACGGAAAGATCCCCTTGAGTGCGTTGCCACGATGTCGTGTTTACAATCGACTACATGTATTAATAATCTATGGTAAAAAGTAAGCAAGCTTGCGGTGCCGGCATCAACAGGTCCGGCTGGCCTCAAATCGAGTTGATCGACCGACGTTTTTGTCAATTTGTCGGCGTCACACAGAGAGTTGGCATTTCCCATCGGGGGGAAAGCGTAGCAGCGTTTTTCACCATGTCGTCACCGACTCAAAACCACACGGTCTTGAATGGTATAAACAATTAAAGGATCAAGAACGACAGGCTTGGCAAACTCGCACCAGCAACACCGGCCAAAGACCTCCATCCCTCCATGTTCTAACGTTCTTCCGTGTAATTAAAGACAGCAGGGAAACCAGCTAACAGAGAGTTTATGTGGACTTATCAGTAATTCCTACCTCCTTCCGACGGGGATGGTTTGTGTCCTTGTGGCCCGGCCACATGCTTGCAGCAAGCCGACTCCGATCCACGTTGATAATCTCGAGCCTGAGCCTGCACTGCACGCTCTTCGACCAACGGACAGGACCGGCGTGCATTGGATTAGCGGAATCGTGGCGTGAGAACTTCCTCGACTATTATAGAAGACGTTGTCCAATCCACTTTGTTTTTTGCTGTCAGAACCGCAAGTATGGCAAGGGATCGATTCGTGCAGAACCGCTTCCCTAATTTCGAGCTGTCGGTGGCTGACAAAGCGGAGCTTCAGGCGCTCGTATCAACTTTCATCGAGGAGCATCTTCCGAACTACAGAGAATACCGTGCCGACAAGAGCCGACAGGTGGATACCAACCGCTGGAAACTCTTCAAGACCAAGGACAATGTACGTCTACACTTTGAACGGGACAGCAAGGACAAACACTCTTCTAAAAAGGAGGACGAAGCGTCGAACATGTCGGTTGTTCTGTGCGAGGGCTCCATTCCAGGCAAGCTGGAAGACGTCATGTTCGGAGTCATTAGTCCCACACTGGAGCTGATGCGTCTCAAGGCGTCGTACATCGACGACATCAGCAGCGCTTCCGTATTATCCACGATCGTCAAACCTACGCCGGAGGACCCACTACAGTCGCTTGTACTCAAGTGGATGCAGCTGGATCTACCGCTACGTTCGACGAGTTTGGTGAAGAACCGTGACTTTGTCTACATGGAGGCTACGGGTATTTTACGGATGAAGGACGGCGAACAGGTCGGTTACCACATCCAGCATTCCATCGGCCTGCCGCAAGCCCCGGAACTGCCCAATCTTGTGCGTGCCAACTGCCACTTGTGCGCGTTCTTCCGTCAGGACCGCGATCTCTCGGTTGAAGTTTACGCGACCGGGGCGTGCGATCCGGGAAGTCCGGTGCTCAAGTCACTGTTGGTGCACCCGGTCGCTTCGATGTTTTTAGCTTGCACGGGCTACGCGCACTGCGGCGAGATGAAGAAGCTGGCGTGGATCATGCAGCATCGCAACGCGCAGAAAAAGCAAATGGGCACCAAACGCAGTGACGACAAGTGTGTGAGCTGCTCGTCGTCCGTCAGCCACAGTCGCATTGGCAAGCTCAGTACCACCCGTGGGTCGTGCAAACTGTGCTTTAACGCTGTATGTCGCTCCTGTCGGGTACGCAAACTCCTTACCTTCATGGAGCCGGATCTCAAGTACGAGAAGCGCAAGGTGACGTTCTGCCCGGTTTGTATCAAGGATGCATTGGAAATTAGTGCTCTGCAAGTGGCCAGGGATCAGGCCTTGGCGCCAACGAGACTGGGAGGGTACCGGTCCAACAGCGAGTTCTCGGCCACGTCTTCCTCGGATGAATGAGGAACGTGTTCCAACGCTCCGAAATTTGGTTAGTTTAGTTAGTTAATTGCGCGTGAAATGGGTTATTGTTAAAACGTTGGTACGCGGTTATCATCTTGTTTCAGTAGAGTAAATTTAAAATTTGATTTTTTTCAAGGCACTCGTTATCTAGCCCGACTGGATGTGAAAGAGTCAGGCTACATTGCCCGACCCAACCCGACGGATGCCCGACTGACCCCGACTAGATAAAGGTCCAGTTGTGCAATCAAAAGAAACGCACTCCAAGTATACGTGTCCAGCGCGTATACTCGGATATTAAGACTCTGAATATGACGAAGAGCGCAAAGCATTCAATGTACTCAGCTCACAGCGGGTCCAACTTAGCACTCAAAAACGTTTTTCTAAAATAAAACGATTGCTCACTTGTTAGGCTTACACGCACATGCAGAGGTATCGATAGCGCAGCTACTGTAGTTCCTTTCTATTCAGGTAGCTAAGTCCGTCGGCCCCGGCAAACACTTCAAACGCCAGCAAGACATACATCCCGCAGCCAAAACTGTCGACCTTGTACTTAGACCGATTCGTTCCGTGGGTGGCGTCAATCAAAAGAACTTCAGGAAACTGCTCGAACAGAGTCCTCATATGATTCGTCTGCAGGGTGATGCAGGTCGCCACTTTCTGTATGCTCAAAACACGATAAACATAGAGTTAAGTTTTCACCTTTTCAATTCAACCCAAATTATTCACACCAGCTACCTTCGTATTTACATCGTCGAGGAAATTCCGACCAACATTACCAGGGCGGTCACCAAATTGCTTCATCCACTTCCTCAACCGCTTTTCACTAGTGCTCGGGCCATCTCGTAATTCCCGAGCCTTCAACTTACGAATAAGATTGTGGACATCCTGCGAAGTCGGGTTGCTGTCCGACTTTTCCGTAATGTACTTCATAATACTCGACTTCTTAGCACCAGCCTGTCGAAGTACATCCACTGTCTGTAAAGCATCCTCATTCAGCACAAGACGATTTGTTGGATGTGCTCTAAACGAATGGTCCGAAAGCCGATGATTGTGTTCCAGTCGGCATCTCGTTATCCTCACAGCGAAGATCATCTTCTCAGAATCCACCACCTGAACACAGGCATTTATCTACACATAATCAATCACAAAGAGAGTGTTAAGACCTCGTTCGGATTTCCATCCCGACCAGACCAGTCTCAATCCCGATCTAACGAACCCGACCAAGCCCAACCGAGCCCGATCGTTCACTTTACCTGGGCATTGCATCCTTTCATCCTAGACTCCTGCCGGGGTCTCTTGCTCGTGGTCTGGGACTTAAATTTCCCGGAATAGGTACAAAGGTCTTTGCGTATTGCACCCACTCGTCAGGAAGTTTTTCCGCCTTTGACTTGGTGCGGTCGATCCGTGCGTTGCGCTCTGCCACAGTGGTATTTGTCCTCACCCTGAAAATCTACAGATAAATTTATAGTGCATGTCAGCCAAAACGTGTTTACACAGCTATAGAAAACACGTGCCTGGAACGTCTATGCTTGGTATACCGCCAGATAATCTTCAAACACCTCCCAGGAGGGAAACTCAACCTTCGTAGGCGCCAAGGCGAGTACGCGGACGGAGCTACCACCTTCGCTTGTGCTGCTGGTGGATTCCGGCGGATCGGAGCAGCTCACTGGCTCCAACGGAATATGTGTCGTATCAAGATCACTCACGACGGGGGAAGGCGCCCAGACGTCATCAGGAGGCGCATCCGAACTATTACTCTCGCTCTCGTCGGGCTCCCACTCAGCTGAATGAGTAAGATGGCGCTTTTGCGCTGCGCGCGTGCGGAGATCCATGCTTGTCGCTCACGCTCTCCCCGTTAACGAATTGTGTGGCTCACGGCGCTATACGATGTATACTGTTGTACGGATGAACCAGCTCGGTAAGAGAAAGGGATGCGTAGGGGAAGGGCAATCCCAGTCGGGCAAGATACCCACTCTCTTTTTTCAAAATGCATAGTGAACCGAAACGATCATTCGTTCTTCTCAAAATTTCCTGGAAAAAGTACAAAATGCAGCCACTTAAGTACGATCTACTGGCGGAATTCACACAATATATTTTTGGAGAATACATGTATTACCAGTGTAACTTACAGAGTTATGACCGCTCAGTTATTATGTATCCTGACTCACGAGCACAGTTACCAGAAATACAAGCAGCAGGAGCAAAGTCTAGCTGAGCGGTATGTACACAGCGATAATTTGCATGTAAATTCTCAACGCGACGCGCCTCAGAGAGTACAGCAGTGCAACCGATTCAAAGTTGTCTACAGTGGTATAATAGTAAAACCACTAAAAACGGACACGAAAGAGTCCGACAGTTGGCTCAGGATGGCACGCTCGCCAGCTGCACAGTGCTCACCACAAAGAAGTACATCGGAGTCTCCAATTTGAAGAGACTGGAGCTGTGCAGACAAGTTCAGATTGCAAATACTGTACAGTACACTGTACATGCACTGTGACGGCGAGGTGGCAAGCCATCGATGTCGGCGCCAAGTATGGCTACGACGCACATCCACTCAGAACTTGAAACTTGCACGGGAAGCCGCGAGTCGATCACTCGCCAATGCATCCACCAGTAGCAGCAGCAGTTCAACTTCTACTAAGACTTTTGCGCAAACGTCTGAAGTCAATTGCGGTGGGAGAACGTCCTTGCTCAGAAGCGACGCTTGTGCACTTCGTAATCGTCCAGCATGCGCGTCGTGCAAGCTAAAGAAAACGCTGATCATGTCGTAGTTGGTACATTCAACCAAGCACAGGATGCTGAAATTCTGAGGATTTCGAAGCGGATGCTAATTTCGAATCGCTGGCACCGTCTGACTGAGCTCCGACCCGAACATCACGTACATGTGCGTAGTGCTCCGTCGTAGAGTAGGTTGGCAGCGAACTTAGCTACGTTGAGAAGTGCTAACTGATACAGCACAAGAACAGTAGTGTACACTTTTTGTTTCACGATCATGGATACAAAAATGTTTGTGGCGCGACCTAGCAAGAGTAAACAACAGTCCGCAGAGCAATGTTTCGACCCCAAGATGTCCTGCTGAGATTTGCCTTCATGAACATGTATCCACCCGCCACGCACCGAGGAAAAGTTGCTGCAGACCGAGCGCACGCATGCCAAGCAGAGCAGTGGCGTTGAGACCCAGTTGCTTTTGGGCAAGGATCTTATCATCTGAACCACTTGGGATCTGCTGCTCGAGTGATGATGTCCATGTGGTACCGATCTCGCTGGAAAAACGTGTCACGGCCGCCCGCATGGAGAGAAGGGAGAGGTAACTCGCCTGCCAGTTCACTCCAGCTTTAAACACGGACTTCCCGGATCAACCAGTCTGTCACAGACTCTGTGCGGTTTGACAAGCGTCGATGGCCAATGCTGCGAGTCCATTCGCCCCCCTCAACCTGGCACACCATGACGCCAACTACCTGAGGGAACTCGTCCACGCCTTCGTGCAACATCAAGTCGAGAGTTACGAGCGGTACCTGCATGACGATCACGAACGTCTCGACAATAAACGGTGGAAACAAATTCTCCAGCGGGACAACATGCGGGTATTTTCGGAGCTCGAGACCGCGAACCCCGCCGACGACCAAGGGTACGTCAACCAGCAGCAAGCGCCCGAGCTAGCGGATCTACCTGCTCTACTGGCCGTAGGACAGATGGAGGGCGCGTTGGACGACGCCATGTACGGTGTAATGACCCCCACAGTGACATCCATGCGTCTCAAGTACTTCTACACAGGAGATCAATTAGCTAACGGCGCAGTGCTGGCAACCATTGATAGCCCCTCGACTATAGACCCGTTCCAGTCACTCACTGTCAAGTGGGTCGAGGGCTACCAGTCTCCAATGCTGCGTCCTCTTGTTAGTAGCCGCGACTTCGTCTACATGGAGGCGACGGGTTTCACCAAGCTAAGCGACGGGGAACTGGTAGGGTACCACCTTCTCCACTCGGTCCACTTTCCTCAGACCCCCAAGACGCGCAATAATACGCGTGGTACGATGTCCATCTGCGGGTTGTACAGACAACGGAACCACAGTGCCGTGGATTTATACTGTCGCGCGTCTGTGAACTCGGGGGGACGCATACCTCGCTCTATGGGCGTAAAATACGCGGCCGTGTCACTCATCTCAGCGAGAAAAATGATCCGCTGCGCTCATCTCAAGAAGCTGACGTGGCTATTGAGAGTACGCGATACGAACACCATCATCCGAGGGGAGGCTAAGTGCATCGGCTGTGGCCAGAAACCTGGAATTTTCGCCACCGAGATCGGCTCATGCTCGCTTTGCAAGCGTGCGCTGTGCTCATCATGCAGATTGATGGTCGAGCTGGGCTTTGCCTCTTCAAATGGGAGCTTCTTCAAAAATAAAATGTGGTTCTGCTCGTACTGCGTGGAAGAAGCAGCTCGAACGAGTTCGCGTGCTGTCGCGTGTGGAGAATATACCGACTCGAGGATAGTGGAGAGAACGCCATGGAGCAGTGGACCGACCAACTCAAGCTCACCGTCTGGATCGGAACGCAGCGATGACTGGGGGTCACTGGACAAACGCTACCTCAATCTAATGCCCAGATAGTTATCAACCCAAACTAAGTTACTTTTTATTGAATGAATATCAATGAATCATGATGATCATCGAAAAAAGAGAAATATTGAAAGGGAGGCTCTGCAGTATCGAATCAAGGAATAAAATAGAACGGATATGCTGGAGGATAGGATGCCAACGGATAGCAGAACATTCGGATTCCTCCTGACTTGGAATTGTACAGAGAAGTTCTTGGCTCCAATTCGAGTCGCAAGAGCTCTAAAAAAATAGAGCTAGCGGCTTCGGTGCGTCTTGTCTCCTATTCATAGACAGCTGTGACGGTGGCGCGAACGAACTATGTTTGAAAGTGATCTTCAACGTCAACTCTCACTTGTCAACTTCCGGCGTCTCGATCGAGTACCAAAGTCCTCCTTGAGAAATGTACGATATTAGGGTCTCAACGACTCACCATCGGCTGGACCACGATTCTTCAGGCGATGGGAACCAACGGCGGTATCGTGCATTGGGTCTCACCGGTTTAATCGCGTTGCTATTGATGGCGACGTACGCTGCCAACCCAGTAGCGGACGATAGCAATCTACTCAGCGCGGATTTCACCCCCATGCAGATCGATCCTGCATCGGAAAGTACCGACAATTCTACTGAATCGAGACTGCATGCCGTGAATGTCGCAATGGGTTGTCCGGAATTTGAGACAGCATTCGACATGGCTACACCCGGAAGTTCCACTCCGTTCCGGTCGTTCACGTTGACCAAAGGTACCGGTTATGCTTACGTGGCACTACACCTCAGCAAGCTCTGGATGCCTCGTGGTGCCTCGGTGGTGCTTCGAGCAGTGGAAGGTTTCGACGCTCCGGATCGTACGCTCAACCTGTCCCTGAACTACCCTAGTGATAAGGTGCACGGCAACGTTCAGGCTCAGCCTCTTCTTGCAAAAGAGTTTCGCATCGAATTCTACCGCAACGCAGGTAGTCTTAACACTACGGACGACGATGCCGACGTCATCGCGAACTCCTTTAGTGTAACAAACAGTGACGCCACCTGCTACGGTTTCGTGGTGGACGCGTACTACTATGTGCTCATGGATAATGACAACCCGATCTCGGCCACAGACGAGAGTATCTGCGCTGCGGACAACACCAAAGAGGCTATTTGCTACTATGACGACACTAACACCCGGACGGCGTTCTTAGCGGCTCGATCCGTGGCTCGGTTGCTCATTCCGAAAGGCTTGGGAGCGTCTGCGGGCTGTACTGGTTGGCTGATTGGTAACGAAGGACACCTCATGACGAACCACCACTGCGTGTCCACCGACGACGAAGCGAGTAGCACAACGGTCGAGTTCATGGCTGAAGCTGATGTATGCAGCGACAGCGTCTCGTGTGCCTCATGGGGGGCGTGTCCAGGCGACCTTGTCTCAATGAGTGCTGAACTTATTCACGCTGACGAAGAGCTGGACTACGCCCTACTTAAAGTACCTGATGATGGAGCTGCTATCGCTCAAAAGTACGGTTATCTGAGACTTAAGACACGTGACGGTGTCGTGGGCGAGCAAGTATATATCCCACAACATCCGCTGTACAAAGGCAAACGGATTGCCATGGTCGACGACTACGCAAACAACGTGGCGTTGCTGAGTCTCAAGGCCAGTTCCTGCGGTGGTTCAGGCTACTCGTACAGCGGGGACACGCAGAGCGGATCATCCGGATCGCCCGTCATCTCCTTCGCAGACCACGGCGTTATCGCATTGCACCACTGCGGCGAGATGTGTGCTAATACGGGCGTCCCGGCCAGGCGTATCATAGCGGACTTGATACTAAACGGCATTGATGTAGCGGAGTTTGATGGCGTCGACGATGGGTCAAACGCTATGACCAACACGGAGTGTTTCCCAGCGTTTATCCCGCCTCCTCCTGAGGTCGCTCAACCACTGACACCGCGTCTAACCATGAACGGCGCTATCATCCTCGCGTCCAGCTACGTCAGTATTGATTCCGTGAAATTCACACTGAGCAGCGACGCAGACATCTCGTTCGACGTGCTATCAGTTGAGATCGCAGACAACGACACCTTCTACGATCTGAACGGCGACTGTCGCGCTTCGTACTTGGATGCGATGATATATCTCTTCGCAGAAGGAGACTCCGCAGCCGTCTTCACCGTGGACGACAGTCCAGGTGATGACGCGACCCAGGACGGATCTGTCAGCTACCGAGATCCGTATAAACGAACGTTCCTTAAGCAAGGATCCTACACTCTCGCCGTTGCACCAACAGGCGCAAGTGAGGAAGACGCTCGTATTGGCAAGACAAAGGCTGACTACCCGCCTGAGCTCTACACCTGCCGCGCGCGCGGCTCGTACGGGTCCTACAAGCTGCAGATCTCCAGTACAGTCGGTGACAACCCGTTCACGTTCACGAGCTTGCCGGCAACGGTAGGCATCAACCCAGCATCATGCAATAAACCAGCCGAAGCTATCTGCTCGAGTTATTAAGAAATCTCTCAATGACGTAGAAAAAATAGATATCACCTTGCTTCGCCCCCTACACTGCCATACTGGCTCGTCGTCTGCTTCGTGAACTTAAACTCTGGTAGAACTCTAAAAACTCCTCTCCTGACGCCAGCTCTTCACTAGCAATCGCCGCCGTGTCGGCTGCTCTAGCTCGATCTATACATCGTCCACAGAAGCGGAGATCTGGACGCACGAGACCTCCTTGAGGCTTCATAAAGGTCAGTCTGTGCTTCACTCGACAAGAAGAGCAGACGTATTTGTAGCAGAGTTTGCATTGGTCTCGATCCGAACGTTTGCCGTACGTATTCACCAGGTTGCCGGACGGGGTTCTGTGTACCGAACGCTTTTGACACGACGTGCATTTCTCCATCCCGTTCGCAGCCGCTGGAGTTTCCGAAGCTGGAATGGGAACACTGGGTCGAGTCGTAGCAGAGCTGGACGTTGTGCTGGTGGCATTGGACTGGGCAGTGGGAGAGTGGATCCTATTGGCTTCCACTACCGCCGCTACAGCGCTCTGCATGGCCCTCAGACGTCTTTTCTCCCGCGACGTCTTGGCCAGCCACGCCAGTTTCTTCTTCTGCGCACACTCTGCGATCTCCGTGACTGAAATGATCGCGTCCGCCACAGATCTCACTACCAGCGAGCGGATAATACTCCCACACGGGTTCAAGATAGCGCGTACATAGACATCCACAAGTCCTTCGCGCTCCTGTCTGTACACCGCCCCCACCGATAAGTTCGCGCGTACACGACCTTCTAACTCAGGGGTCTGCGGGAAATTCACGGAATGAAGTAAGTGGTACCCGACGCGTTCGCCCGTGTCCAGTTCTGCGAGTCCCGTGACTTCTAAATACACGAAATCCCGGTTTTTCACCACGGGTTTCAAGACATGTAGCTGTTCGTTCTCCATCCATTTGACTGTCAAAGAATGGAACGGATCGTTTGGAGACGGCTCCACTATGGTAGCTAGAACGGCCCCATCCGCCATATTGTCCCCTACATACGACGACTTGATCATCATGGTATCTATTGTTGAGTTCACGGCCCCGTACATGGCGTCGTCCAGCGTACCGGCAATGGTCCCGACGGCCAGAAGAAGCGGGAGATCCGCCAATGACGCGGCGGCAGCGGCCGTCACCTTCTCTCCCGCTGAGGGGCATGGACGCTGATGGCGGTACTCTCTCTCCAGCTCGTCTTGTGTAGCGCCACCGACTTTACGTCGCTCTTTGAGTGGCTGCTCCACGTACACGTGCACGCCCGCGCGTTGCTTGGTTAATTTCCACTGCCGCTCATCCAGTCGACGCTGGTCCTCGTACAGATATTTTTCATAGCTGTGCACACTGTCTTGGACGAATACTCGAGCGATCTCGCCTAGCTGGGACGCATCGTCCACTGAGAGCTGCAGCGGTTCGAACGGACTGGGACCCCACGTCGGCATGGTATCTTATTCCGAAAATTTGTCAACTGAATACGTCTAAAAGTCAAATTTGAGCGCTTGACAAGTTGTAGCTGTCAAAGCCGTTATAATAAAAGCACAAGGTGGCTAGTGGCTGGTTCTTCTTGTATGTGTGGTTCGTGGCGGGGCGGAATGCTGCGTGGGAGTCGGAAGTCGATACGGGGAACGCAGCACGTTGGTAACACCGACCAAGTATCGATCGTCCTCCGGGTTATCATAAACTCAAAGAGTTTGACTCGTTAAAAATAATCAGCCAATGTAGTACTAATATTGCAGTAGTACTACTTTCCTAGTAGTAGTGTTTAAGTACCGTAGTGTCCCCTTTCTTAATAAACTGGTGCTTTTTTATTTTACAGTTATAATTCTATTACTATTATTAAAGAAGCAAAGTTGAAGTTGGGGGGGGGACGGCAACTTTATATTTTACTTATCAACACACATTTTCCAACAGGATGAGAATTGTTATTCGAGTACGGTAGACCTTTACACGGTACGCTCCGAGTCAGAGGAGGACGCGAAGGAGTAGTCCGTACCGGAATGGAAGGCGTACTGCGAATTATTGCCCGCAATTTGTGCGCGGGCGGCGTCTGCTGTGTTAATTTCAAAAGCTTCCTTGATGCACGAGGGGCAGAACGACGTCTTGCGCTCCTCGAACGTCATTTCAAGCGTCACGAAGTTCAGACGCTTCTTGACACGGCACGTGCCGCATACGAGACGATGGCAGAGCTTGCAAGAGTCCCGAGAGCGGCCGAACTTGCCGAAGATCTTGGAGCTGATGGGGATACCGCAGCTCACGCACTCGCCCTCGTTGATAGGCGCGCCGCGCTGCTTGTCCAGCGCATAGCGGCGGTGTATGAGCCACGTGAGCTTCTTCATCTCACCGCAGTGTGCGAACTTTAACGCCGTGAAAAACTTCATAGCCGACGCCGTGACCAGGAACGATTCGACGCTGGAGCCGTTCGCGACGACGCCGGACGAGTACATCTCGACGCACTGGTCGTGCTCCTGGCGGTACAGGAAGAAGACGTTGACGCTGGCGCGAACGCGGTTCGGCAGCTCCGGCGTCTGCGGAAACCCGATCGAATACATCAACCGGTACCCGACGCGTTCGCCGTTGCCCAGTTGCGTGAAACCCGTAGCCTCCATGAACACAAAGTCGCGCTTGTTCGAGTGTAGCAGCAGGTCCAGTTCCTGCCATTTCAGCGCGAGCGTCGTCAACGGGTCCTCGATCGTAGGTTCCACGACGGTAGCCAGTACCGCTGCACCGGTGAGGTCGTCCACGTACGTCGCATTGAAGCACATGTCCTCCGACGTCGTGCTCACTGTGCCGAACACGACGTCGTCCAGCGTGCCCTGCATCTTGCCGATACACAGCGACACGGGCGTACCAGCCTGTTCCGACGCCTCGTTCATCATGTAGTGGCTCCCGTCCGTGGTCGTACGCACCTCCCGCTCTAGAAACAGTCGCAGGTTTTCTCTCGTCTTGAGCGGCTTCCAGCGACGCTCGTCCACGTTGTGGCCGCCTTCCTTGAGAAACGTCTCGTACGAGTACAGACATTCCGCGAGAAAGCCGCTGGCAGTCTTTTGCATCTGCACCTTGTCCCCCGCCGACAGTTCCATCGACGGGAACGGGTTCATCACGTAGCGCTTCCTACCTCCCATAACTAACGGGTTTGCAGCGTATGTGTGTGCTGCTGCTCTTCTTGCTGCGAGTGCAGATTTTTTTAAATGGTTGGGGTGTTCCTGCCTCTCTTGTCCGGATTGACGACTTAGGTCGCATCAAGACGACTGGCAGTCTCATCACACGGGCGCGCGCGAGTGCATAGCACGCACCGGCGACACCGAGAGGAAGACAGAAAGGGACAGGCGCTGGTGGATGGTGCGGCGTTGTGGCGATCCGTGTCGAGACGCCGAGCTGCAAGCAGAGGTGACAGGGTGCAAGTGTCGTGCAGCGTTTTTGGAGGCGGTGCCACTCCGCCGTCTGCAGCTCGAATAAAAGCTCCGCACACATGCTCTGATGACTTATCAGCAAAGAGAGGACAGACGAGCACTGACCATCGTGGCGCCAAGCACATGTACATGCACAGCGGATTGATATGATAACTCGGCTTTATCTCGCTTTTCTAAGCCCTTGCATTGCTTGCTTTTGTAGAGCTACAGGATACGATTGTTCCTATATACAAGTAGCAACGAGCATTGGCGTCGATTCGGCGACGCGGAAACCTTTGTCATTTTTGCCGAGAATGAGCCGGTGAGAGACTTCAAGGCGAGGCGCGTCTCCGACACGCTGGCGTACAGGTCGAGAGAAACGACAAGAGATCCGCAGGATTGGAAACAGCGACCACGCTTGACAGTCTGTCACTGGGGCATCAGCACTCCACCAAGGTTGATTTCTCGGGTCATTTCGAGTTACTCCAGCTGGCACCGATAGCAACCACCGAGATGCTGAAGAACTTCACAAAACTGACTGAATAAGTTCAATTGAGCCATATGGACGCAGCCAGCATTCGTGCGATGCCCGCCGCCACCCCGTTCGTTCAGGACGATCTTGTTGGATACGTACCCACCGAGGAATGATAGCCAGGGCGATGTATTACAGTGGATTTGGTGACTTGCACTGAGCAGCAAAGGTTGACGAAACTGCGTTGGTAACCAAAACTTGGTTGGCGTGCACTAAACCGAGGCGCACATTAAAAAAAAGACTCTTGGTCTAAGAGAGAACGGGCTAGCAAGCCCAGCCAACCTGCTCCGCCTTGATCCACCACGTAAAAAAGTCTCGGTCAAAAGATAGACGCACAGCTAATGTGGTTGCTAAAATCCAGATAACCGTACTTAACTCTTTGATCGATGTTAGATGGTTATGTGACTTCGTACTTAAGTGCGTATAAATGTCACCATATTCGGTTGTGTACCTACGACAAAGGCACAAAGCCACACATAGAGAATAAAATACCGAATATATTTCCAAAATTTCATCGTTTGTAGACATTATTGAGGCCATCCAAGTGTGTGAACGTGGTTGCGCAATCGTCAAATGTCGTGCGAATGTCGAAGGAATACGATGAAGTCTGCGTGTTGCCAGATTGTACACATGACTAAGCATTTTTTCGCAAGTGAGTCCGTGAGTCCGATGTGGAAGTAAGGAAATCAACGTGAGTCCGTGAGTCCGATGGGGAAGTAATGAGATCAACGGAGGCCCTAAAGACATTCTGATGTATAGCTTCATGTACCAGAAAGTGTTGAACATCGTAAAGAAACCCGGTTGATGCATGAACTGAATGAATTACGCAACTTTTGCAGTGTGCTAACGTCTCTCCTAAACATGCAGTGACTTCAGTAGATATCTCATCCTGTAGTACCGAAGGAGCGCCTTCGATGGCGACTTCGGGAGAACGACGTCACGCACAATGCTCTCAAAAAACAGGAGAACAAGAGGTCCGCAATTGTGTCCATCTGTCTGCTTCAGCCACACTTCTCGTTTCCAATCCATTTTGGCTACTATCTCTGGAAAGATTTTCTTGACAATGTCTTCACACGTTTCAAGTTGCTTTGGCTTCTGTTGGGGGTCAAATACTGTGATCCGGTTTGGTGTGGACTTGAAGTCAAAGACTGCACCGCACCAGTGGTTTCTGTTGATATGAATTGGCAGCAACACATGCGTGTTGTGCTCTTGGAATGGATCGGAGCCACTGATGACCTTCTCCTGCGTTTCAGGGTCATCCGTACCGGTAACGCCTGGCGAAATAATACCAACGTGTGCATGCTCTTCTTGGATCGTCGTCATTACGTGCATCATGCAGTCGTCGTTCAGCCATAGGTCTTCTCTTAGCAGCAGAACGGATTCATTCGAGACCATTCCGAACGGTGTCAAGCGTGAGATTGGCAAGACAATCTGCTGCAGCGCTGTGGTAGCCTTGGTCTTATCTAGTTCAACATACTCATTGAGACCTTCTGGAATATCCAGTCTGTTTAGCGACGTAGCTTCCATCCACTCAATTGTATCAGACACTGCCTCCAAAGACTTCATCGTGTGATGGTACTCCACCATTACTTGCACTTGGTCCTCGCTGATGAACCCGATCTTAGCGAGACGAACACCTACGGGTGACTTCGGGTCTGGTAGTGCCTCTCTGTACATTTCCAAAACATTTCTGCATTTATGCGTGAATTGCTCGGTGAACACGAACTTGACGCTGCTTAGGGCCTCACTGGGGGCTACCATCTTCGCTATTACTTGTTTCCTGGGGCCCAGCGTCTTTACCGATAATTTGGAGAGGAACTCGTATGCGGATTCGTAACTGTATGTCGACTTTAACACTGTGGCCACATTGCTTAGCGTGATAACCGGCGTCAACGTCCCTTGCACAAGCTGTTTGGCTTCCTTCAGAGAGTTCACCAATCGTTGCTTCTTCACTTGTTGTTTCTGGTTCTTTCGTATCTTGGGCCGACCGCGGTTTTTGGTGCTTTTCGAGAGGAAGAATGAGCATTCCTCACTTGAGCTGGAACTGGGATGTCCGCCATCTGAAAGCGCTCTCTTTGCTGGAGGTGCTACTTGTTTTGTCTCGTCATAGCTCGAATGTGATAGCCCCACAATACTCCGCTCGTCCCGCATCTCAGATTGATCGGGGAAACCTTGCGCAATACTCGTCACTTCGTCGGAGTGACTGGCGCCTCCAGAGTGACTGTTGCTATCCGTCACCTCTATCGTGTGACCCGTGTGACTTGAACAAGGTGACACACCACGTGAGTGACTTCGTGATTGAGCCACCATAGGCCCACCGCGACCCGAAGCATCCTCAGGTTCCTCAAGGCCCTCACGCTGTATCTCATCCTCGTTGTTGTAGATAGTGGCGTCGGCGATTGCAGTTGGAGGCTCACTGGTGTCATCGGAATTTGCTGCACCATCACGTATCTCAGAAATCTGCAAAAGAGGATTCAGTTGAGAGAGTCGATCTGGCCATACAGAAACGAAAGGTGCCTCTCCATCCGTTGCAATGGACTCAAAGCGCTTAAGACTTTCCAACATCTGGATAAACACGGGAGTTCCATTTCGGCTCATGATATCTGCAATTCGCGTCGCTACAGCGTGTGATGTTCGGAACTTGTTAGTCCCGTTGAGCACTTTGTGGCGTACCGCTGTCAAAGCGGAATCTCGCACCCGAAATGATCCACTCGTTGCTTCTCCGTCTTCTGCATCCTCATCTTCTTCAACGGGAATGTTCAGCGAGGATGACAGACTCCAACGAGGGTGGATGTGCTTGACTGGAATGGGGCTTTTTCCACAAAGTAAACGCCAGTATATAGCATGACGACAGGGAAGCAGCTCTGTCCTCATGAAAATACACGAACAGTGATACGTCTGTCAAGTCAGAATAACCATTCAATAAGTATTGATACCATTCACCCATTATGGACAAAACAATTTACGCACCCTAGTATCAAGATGGTACTTTCGACTCGTGTCAGCTGCTGACACCATCTCGATCATGTAAGATTGTAGTTCGCGCGTTGTATACGTAGTCTCGCGATCATTAGCAACGCGATACTGCTTTTCCACCAGCTCGTAGGCGTGCTGGCTAACCTCTTTTGATAGCTTCGTCAACTCAGCATCAGCTCCAGCGTAACGCATGTGTCCAACGTCTGTCATTTTCTTCGCATACTCCATCTCCGCAATAGACTGCAAGAACTGCAGAGTATCCACGCACTCATCGAGCGCCATCGTAGACTTCAGCACGTCCTTCAAGTGGCCCCATGCCGCCTCCAACCTAAGTCGTTATATAAGTCAACAGTTAGCAATTAGAACTTAAGACAGCACAAAAACGCCTCAGTACCTGTTGTTTGTCGTGTTTCCCAAATGAGGGACGTCTACACGACCAAATCCACTCCACATGTGTCTGCAATTGTGCCAATTCTCGTGGAAGTACTTCAGAAATGGGTGTGTTGAGTCCTCTAGAATATCTTCTTCGAGTGTAATTTGCTTTCCGTCAACCACGTAGTACAGATATCTACGACTCGTTTCGTACTCAAGTTCCGTCTAGGCGTCCACCATCATGTGAACGGCGTCCTCAACCTTATCCCGATCTTCAATATTATACTCCCTCTTTGCCATTTCTCCCCGAAGATACTTCACCACATGAAAGACACAGAGCAGAATTCTTGCTGCAGGAAAAGCCTTCTGCAGAAGCGCAATTTCTCCAAAGTCTTTGTCAACGATAATCACTCGAACTTGGTCCCAGGTTGAGTTAAATGATTTGAACGATTTCACTGCATCCCCCAAACAATCAGCACTTTCGTTCTCCATGAGTGCATGCTGCACGTATTGCCCCTGTACACAAGCAGCCACAACGAGGTACACAATTGTAGCAATGGCACACAATCACAGTAAAGTCACATAGAGGCACACAAATGTAGCGGGACACACGGGCACAGTAGAGTCACCCAAACCAACACAGAGGTACAATTAGAGTCACACAATCGACACAGCCACCAAGAGAGTACTTACATGGCCGAAGACATCGTGAATCATGAAACTGAAGAGCTTGTATCGAGCATCGTTGGTGTTGTGAGTGGCGTCCACCATCAACACCTGTGGGAACGCCTCAAAGAACCTTCGCATCTGGTGGGTTTGAAAAGTGATCGTCTGCGCTAGCTTCTCGTCATCCACATAAATGGTCGCCGTATTAAGCTTTCGAGAGCAGAAATCGCGCAAACCAGACTCCAGTCTTGTCTCGACGGTTGTAGCTCCACGCCGCGCCTCTTTCAGCTTCGCCACAATATTGTGCACATCACGCAGGGTAACATGCTTGCCTATTAACCAGGCATTAGAACCAAAACAAGCATAATAACAAGGATACAATCATGTAGCGTACCAGTTTTCATCCTCAGAAACTGCAGAATCAGCTTTTTCTTCGCCCCGGCAGCTTGAAGCTCATCCACGAAGTCAATCACGTCTTCGTCTGCAACGCGTCGATTTGAGGGGTGATTTCCATAAGATCCTAAGCTTAGTGAGTGGTTGTGCGCTGTCTCCTGGTGCGTAACCTTCACTTGAAAACCCTGAGCAGCATCCCAAATTACAACGACCGTCATCTGCGCTTGACATCCGGTAGACTTCACGACCGTCATCTGCGCTTGACATCCGGTAGACTTCACGAAGTAGTTATGCCTCTTGCCCTTCGAACGGCTGGGCCTTGACCGACTATGCGTGCACACCAACTTTCGGTAGTACTTGTCGAAAGCGTCTGATATAATGGTCTGCGGGGTGTCCTTACCACGGTCTCGGAGATCCGCGTTCCTCGCCGTGGCGCTTGTAGAGGTCCTCTTCTTGAATATCTGGTGGGTTTTGTGCTGATATGCGTCAAAATACTCGAAAAACGCACCCCAACTCCCGAACGTCTCCTCATCCATACGTGGGGCTCGGGCGACAACGGCGGCAGATGTGGGGACGTGGACCTCCGGGGATTTAGCTTCAGTGGTCTCGGCGTCGGGCTCGGATGCCGACGCGACGCTCGCCATGCTGCTTGTCCTGCTTTTCGCGCCTCTTTTGAAATGAAAGGCCCAGAATAAGTTGGGAGGGGTGAAAGGGGGGAGGGGGTGTTTTTCTACTTTTGATGCTGACTGATTTGTCGAGATTTTATCCGGTCAGGATTTTTTTTTCTTACCGACAATTATTGTGTGACTTTATCCACTTCCTAACTCTTTTAACTCTTTATCATGCTTGATTATTCCAAATCAGAGGTCACTTCAACTAGCCCAATAATTGACAATTACTGTCAATCCTTTTTGTGTTGTTTGTCTGCCTCTACTCGAAGGCGTAGTTGGGGTGCACTGTTAAATACCTCTGCTGGTTCTTAACGTCTTTCTCTTCAGGGGTCAATTTCTGGGTGTTTTCCTTCCCGTCCTTGTCCATCGTCTCGTCTTCTTCGTCCTCCATCTCCACCACCGACAAGATTTTATCTTGCAGCAACTTGTCAATGACCGAGCAGATCATTTGCTTCTCACGCGAGAGCTGCGCCTCCGACGTGATATCCTGCGAGGACAAGTACCACGTCACCAGCTCACCTTGCAGCACTCCAGTCGCGTCGTCCTCGTCCTCGTCTTCTTCCTTCTGTTCAGTCTGCGCTCGGATGGCGTCACGAGCGAGTTTGGCACTCAACGCTTCCTCTTCTTTCTCGCGGATAAACCGCCCGATAGCCTTCTGGATCCTCGCAAAGCGCTCAAAGGAGAGCGAAGACGACTTGGACTTGGAAGGCGTGTCGTTCGAAGCCGCGGACGCCCCATTCATCCCGTTGTGACCACCACCGTTGCCATCGTCGTCGTCATCGCCCTCGTCTCCACCGCCACCACCCCGACTGTGATCATCGTCGTCACCTTCAACAGCAGGCACAGGCAACTCGAGCTCTACATTCTGCGTATCCACATGGATGATCGACTTGCTGAGCAGTCGATACGCTTCTTGTACGTGCGAGACCAGCACGGTCTCGCTCAGATCGAGTCTCGCCAAGCCCTCGGACAATCGGATCATCGACTCCAGTTGTCGTACTGTAATACGGTACGCGATGTTGGTCTGTCCATTGCTCACCACGTCGTTCTCACGCAGACTTCGGTAACACGCCACCATCATGCGCTTGGCTTCCGGTGTGATCACGGGGTTCAACGTCCGTGCGAACTTGATGTACCGCTTGAGGTCTTCTTCACTGTACGCGCCATTCTCGGTCGCTTCGGTCTGCAGCTCAGTGGGCATGTGGATGTTGACGATATGTTCTGCAATCTTGAGGTCCGTCACTTCGTCGCCGTCGTCCAAAATGACGAAAAACAGGTCGAAGCGAGACATAATCGGCGCCGAGATGTTGACGTTGTACTTGAGCGTCTTGGTCTTGTCGTACCGACCATTGTACGGGTTCGCAGCGGCCAAGATACTCGTCCGAGCGTTCAACGTGGCTTGGATACCTGCTTTCGTAATCGAGATCGTCTGTTGCTCCATCGCTTCGTGGATAGCGACTTGGTCCATCGGATCCATCTTGTCAAACTCGTCAATACAGCAAATACCGTTATCTGCCAGCATCAGCGCACCGGCTTCGACGCAATAGTCGCCACTGTCTGCGTCTCGAGTCACCGAGGCCGTGAGACCCGCAGCGGAACTCACTTTGCCGGACGCGTAGATGGCTCGAGGCAGGAAGCCGACAATGTACTTTAAGAACTGCGACTTGGCTGTGGACGGGTCTCCCACGATACAAACGTTGATATCTCCACGCAGTTTAATGGCCTCCATCGTCTTCTTGTGGACACCACCGAAGAGCATGAGTAGAATACCCTTGCGGATCTCGTCGTGGCCATACACCGACGGACAGATCGACTTGGCCATCTTGAGATATCGATCGGGATCTTGCTGCATGTCTCGGATTGCAGCCAACTCCTCGTCACTGAATTCTTGTAGCGCAGCCTCGCCAGCGTCTTCTTCGGCGCCGTCTTCGTTGAACTCACTGCGGATCGAAATGCTATTGAAACGTTGCTCCATTGTCTGTACACTGCACGCCAGGAAGCACGTCTTGTATGTGAGTTCTCGAACACCCAGAGCCTTGAGACCACGCACGCCTTCGCCCTGCATTCCCTGTGTGCTGTTCTCTCCTCCACGTCGCTGACTATTGGTCCGCGTAGCCACCGCAGTCTCGCCACCAGCTTTCGCGAACTTGGACACATCCGGTACAACGATTAAAGTGCCGGTAAACACCACACGGTCGCCGGCTTTGGCCTGTTCGACGTTCTCGTGTCGCAGAATGACGTCGATGGATCGAGGCATACTCCCAGCCGGGATCTCGTCGCTATTCTCCTGTACTTTGACCCGCTGCCAGTCCACGAAGACGGATTTCTCAGTGTTAAGCTCCCATGCGAACGTGTTGACGCAGTACGGGTTCTGACACTTGGCGGGTTCGCTGTATCGGAATTGCTGTTCCACGCCGGTGGTGTCTCCGCCACAATCTCCACATGTGAAGGCCCCGAACAGAAGCTCTGGACGCACTTCGGACGTCCGTGTTACTGTACCGGAGAACGATAGCAATTCTCCGATGCTTCTGGTCCTGAGGTCCCGAATACTGCACGACAAATGTTAAATAAATATTAATTTCTATCCTAAAAATAATATTTTTAACGAGAAAATTCGTACTGTGATACATGTTGGAAGTTGTAGAAGTTGACGAAGAACTCGCGTTGCGTCTTGTTGGCGTCCTCGTTGACTGTGTACGCCGCGTCTTCGAGTCGAATGAACTCGAAGACACTGCGTCTTAAGTACGGTTCCCAGCGGTAATACTGGGCTTGTAGCGCCTGTGCAAGGTCAGGATCGAACTCCAGGACGTGCGAAAAGTCCACAAACAGCGATGATGTCTCTGTATTGCGCATAACCTCGGCCTGTTGGCTGTAATTGATCTTGGCAGGACCCATAACCTCGTCCGCGTCCTCTTGCTGCCCGTAGCCGCATAAAAACTGCAGGAAGCGCGTCTTCACAGCCTCAGCAGTAGAGTCGACTAGAAGATCGACGGGTGCGGCGCTGGCATTGAGCGTGGGGGCGCCGCCACGGCCGCGCTTGGCGCCCACGCCCGCCCCGCCATTGGAGCTACTTGCGGCTTGCATTGGTCGTTTTGGATTGGCAAAAAAGCGCGGGAGTTTAACTGTGCAACTTGATTTGATACGCTGCTAATTGTGCAACTTAGCTTGGAATTTGCTGATTGAGCAACTTAAATAAATATTACTGAAGTGATTTTTTTTAAATATCGATATTTAAAAAAAATGATCTTTGAAGGTCGCATGCCAAATCTCACACAGCATGCTGAGCGTGAACACGTCGCCAATGCAGGCTCCAGGGATCAGCACCACGGAGGAGAGGTTCCTTCAGGCTGAGCATTTCGTTACTGTCGTGCTCTCCCGACTGGAAAAAGACCCCATGTCGGTGTCTCCACGCCTCTGGGCCTTCCAACAGCAGCCTACAGCGAATCGACTGTGGGCCTTCAAGCAGCAAGCGCTGGTGGGCTCGTGCGATGTTTCCCGTGGCTCGAGGAAATACGAGGAGCTGAACCCGCAGAGAAACGCCACAGGGCTACTAGGCTTCCACTGCTGCCAATTTGTCGCTGGAGACGACTCGAAATTGTAGGACAAAGTGCGTCTTTTTGGCAGTATTTCAGTGTTCATGTTCGTGTTATGAATATACAGGAAAATGTGGCAGAAGCTCGGCGATATGTCGGCGGAGGAAGCTCAACGCGAATACATCCGCGTCGTAGAAGACGTGCTGCCTCAATGGCAGTCGCCTCCGAGTTGGGATGGAGCCTTATTGGTACAAGCTAGCTCTTCAAAAGTTCTAGAAAATACACTGGATTTAATGCCGTTTGGTGTGTTTCCAGCGCACCTGGACACCAGACGACTGTAGCGACCGCTGCTCTGTGTGTCACGAGGTCTTCACCTTCTTAAATCGCCGTCACCATGTAAGTTTCCAGTGGAATATCTCTTCACCGTCTCATGTGCTAATGAATTTTTCGTCATAAAGTGTCGCCGTTGTTTGAATCTCGTGTGTGCTGTGTGTTCTCCGCACACAGTTCCGCTTCGAGTGTTCTCGGAGCCTGTGGGCAAACGTCAACGAGTATGTGCGACTTGCTTCGATGAGATTGGCGAGGCTGCTCGTCGTGGTTCTTTTACCAGCACTAGCGAGCAAGTGCGTGAAGCTACTGTACCCATTCCAGTCGAGGAACAGGAGACAGACAATGGCGAGGCTTCGTCTGAGGCACTAACGTCGTCGCCCGCGATTCACTTGGGTACACTGGACTTCCTCCAGGGAGCGTACGGACAAGGCTCGAAAGTCTACAGAAAGACGTGGAGCTCCTTCTTCTTCGTCCTACTTGTACGTAAAGGCTCGTTGGGTATGTTTGCGTCCCAAGCCGAGCATCTGGCAGGCAGTGAACCTCCAGCTGCAGTATTTAAACTCAGTGGCTACACGCTGCGAATCAGGTCGCAACCCAAGCAACCGCATCAATTCCGCCTCACGCATAGTAGTAAAGGAGGCAGCCCCAAGAAGACGTTGCACTTTGCAGCTTCAAGTCTCGAGGAGATGAACGGCTGGATCGCTGCTTTGATCAAAGCTATCGCTGTGGCTGATGAGCTTGAACGTGTTGCCACAGAAGAACGTCTCCATAAACAGACCCAGAACGCCTAAGTAGGGAGGGGTATGAGGGGACAATATGACGACTTTGTTCTTCATATTCATCAGTGGCAATCATAGTACTATATACTTGGTAGTTCTACAACAAAAGCGGAGGCGTATTCTTTAGAGCCTGACGATCACACAAGAGGGCGAGCTGCCGACTTTGACTGGGGGCGGCGGTTGAGGTGGGGGTTTGGGCTGAGGTGGGTGGGGCTTGAACTACTCGACTCCTTCTTCATCTTCATCTCTTGTACAGGGAGGAGCCCAGCAGCCTTCGTAATGGTACACTTTGTGGCTGACTGAGGCTCCTCCAGAAGGAGGGCGAGGTAATTTAAATAAAAAACATCTCTGGGAACACCCGCGGCAAACGCTATGAGCAGTTGCAAAGAAGGAGGTACGGCTCGTTCTACCGTGTGGAGTATCAGACTCTCTCTCGCACTTTGCTTTACTCCTGCACAATCATACACCGCGAGAGCGGTGCGTTGACTGCGCATGAGAAGAACTCGATGGTTTGATTGCCTGCCGTCATCATGACTCTACCGGATGGAGTCTTGCCGAGCTCGTATTTGCTGAGCTTTACCGGCGTCGGGACGGTGGGGATCGTGGTCATGTCAGGGCTGGCAAGGCCCATAGTGTAATCATCGAGTTCGTCGAGTTCATCTGCGTAGAATGGACCCTCCTGGGAAGACGAGGAAGCCGTGGACGCGCCCGAGTTGTAGTACTCCTGCTGGTTGTAGTAAGTGGGACTGCTGGGAGATGAATAGTACTCGGCATAGCTGCGCTGTTGGTACGACGTAGACTTGACCGGCGATGAGTACCCGTCGTATGCGCTGTACTTGGTCGGGGACGAGTACTGCGGGTGGCTGTACTTGGAGGGCGACGACGTGTACTGCGTCTGGTGTCGGGAATACCGGGAGTTAGCGTACATTGTACTGGAGTTTTGTATGCTTCGGCTTGGTCTGCGCGTGGCTTTTTCGGGAATGGCAGGTGCAGTCGAGCGCTGGTGTCGGGTAATTTTACCGTTTTTTATTTTAAAAATCAAAAAAGGGAGGAAGAAAGGACGGTCTATTTCTGCTTTTCTTTGTTTTGTAATAAACACTTGCGTTTGTAAGAGCGTTAGGATGGACGCCTCATTCGAGAAAGCCAGTCCATGAATTTTATTTAAAATAGATTACCAACGAAGGCGTAACGGCTGATCGGCTTTGCAGCATCTGGCTCACTCGGCTCCCTCCCGTTGTCCTGTTGCAGCCAGCGTCGGAAGAGGATCCGCCGCTAACAAGCGAGACGCTTGCGATCTTCCAGCGACGTCGATGAAGCATGCACGAGCTCTGTTGTTGAGGTTATTGCCGTCGTTCAAGGTGTGTCGATTCTACTCGGTTGATGAAACGCGAACCCTAAAGGTCGCTGCTGCCCTGAGTTTTTGCGTAACCGCCGCTCCCTGCCTGCGGCTCTTATCTGTTGCCACTGCACCGAGAGCGCTTGCAGCTCCTGGGCGGCAAGGCAAGGCGAGGCTAAGCGGCACGGCTGCCGATCTGCGTAAAGGGCCCAAGGCAACGGATATCGAGCTTGAGCTCCGAGCCACGCGCTCCATGACGCGATAGCGCTGCTCCACCGCCATCTGATGGTCAATGGACCAATCAGACGGCTGGGATGAGCCACCTTCTGACACGAAGGATGGGCTGCCACTTACAAAACGCAAGTGAAAAGGGAGTGTCACGGCGAGATAGTCGCCAGCAAAGTTTGACCGGATTCCGTGCAGTTTAACTGCTGGACTTCAGTGCTCCGATCATCGCCGCGATAGCCGCGCCCAGGGAAAGTAACGAGAATGTTGGGCTAGAAAATGCATGGACCAATGGTCCAGGACCATTGACCGTGGTCATTTCACCTTCAGCGCTAGTAATACGTGTGCGGCAGCGGTCATGACTCATGTGCCATCAGCGCCGCATACTGGGGTCCAAACAACAGGGTATGTCTCAATCTCCAAGAGACACGCAACTTCAATTTGCTCGTCGTTTGCTTGCGCGAGCCAAGTTGTGGTGACGCTTGTCAAGACAGCAAATTAATGTACGATTACCGGACGGGGTATGTACGTGTACTGTACATGTACGAAAAATACTACCGGTAGTGCACCGATGGTATCCTACTAGGATTCCTAGGGAGGATCATTTCAATTTAAGGTCGAACGTGAGAGAAAGAGAGTGCAGGAACAGAGAGAGAGCAGAGCAGTCGGGTTCGGTGCTGTGCGAAAGCATGGAGCTTGAGTACACGTTACAAACCCGTTTAGTCTGTTCGACGCGAAATCGGGGTGCTGTTATAATACATAGCACTTCAACGTCCACCGCATCTGGCAAGAGAGGGCAAGGGTGACTTTGCGGTGTGGACAGCAAACGTACTGACAGAGCTTGTTTGTCAGCACTTCAACCAGCGTTACAATATCCACCGTGGATTCCATGTGAGGCTTCGTGGTGTGACCAGCGCTGACCCGTGGTCTTATTTTCTACTACGTAGTACTAATGTACTTCTACATGTACCATAGTTTTGGCATTGATCAATACTGTACTACGATTCTGCAATTAGTCCTACAGTACTGCACCCCGTTTTCGTGGGGGTGGACCATATAGGATTTGCAAATAAATCAGAATTTACCTAACAAATTACAGTTCATTTGGATTTAGGATCATCACATCCGGAAGTTTATCAAAGGTCCAAGGGCGCGAAAACGGGGTGCAGCACTGTATTATAAAGCCCTCACAGTGTGGGTGTGAGTCACACCAAACCTAACGCAATTTGCCAGCTTATGCACGGTGCAGCATTTTTGCCAATAAAATAGCTTGAAATAAAAAAGTCTAATTTTATTGGCTAACGATGTCATTTCCAGCTTTTTGCGTGCTTTCCTCGGTAACATAATCGATTTGGTCACTAACGGTTTTGACAGGTATTCCCTTTTGTCATCTATAGCCACACACTGAGCCATGGAAGCGAAGAGGAAGAGACTGGTTATGGGAAAGTAACGCTGCGGCGCGGTAGTGCCTACACGGTTCAAGACCTGAAGATAGCTCTTACTAGAGTACAACAAGGAGATGTACGTTGTCGTAGCGCGCATTACAAACATTCCTGTTAGGACGCTGTTTAGGAAAGCTAAGGACAGGAAAGAGGGCAAGTCTCTGGTGGGAGGCCGCCGTGGCACCAAACCAACTCTGCCGCCGGAGTTTGAGGCAGACTTAGTATAGTGGGTTGCTGATATGCAGCGGGTTGGTGTACCCGTTGGTCCTTCAGGTATTCCTACCAACGCCAACAAAGTATACCTTGCGATGCAGCCCATGTCAACTCAGCACACATCACCTCCAAAACCGCTTACGACGAGTTGGTACCGCTGCTTTATTGAAAGACACCCGATCCTGGCTCCACGAGTTGCTCAGCAGATTGCTCGCGTCCGCAACCGTGTTGAACCGGAGGCAGCACGTGGTCTATTCTGCGTGATGGCGCGTCTTGTTATCGAGCACAAACTCGACAAGAGTCGCGTCTATAATATGGACAAGGCATCTTTTATGCCGAAGTCATCGTCTCGGAAAGTGGTTGCCCTGAAAGGATCGTCTAGCGTGTGGACCCAAGAGCCGAAAGCACAAGTGAAGAAATTGGAATGATTTCAATTGCCAACACGTCTGTGACTGGCGCGCCGAAGGGTTTCAGCAACGCGGGCATCTTTAAATTGTGGCTAAAGATATTTGACGCTTACCTGACAAGGTGCAAAAAAGATGCTGCTCGCCAGACTTCCGTCGAATGCCACACATTTGAACCAGCCTCTTGACGTCGCTATCTTCAAGCCATTTAAAAATATAGCGAAGGCTGCTTTGCATGGCAAGTTGCTTGATGACTCGGCTCGTACGGTTTCAAAATCCGATGCAATTGATATTACGTGTGAAGCGTACCGGAATAGCATAAGGAAGAGTCCCAACAACGCTGTGAATGACTCCCGTACCGCCGGGCAGTTTCCACCATCATTGGTGAACATGCGATTGCGTCTCCGGCTTTTTGCGAGTGATGGAGCACGCGGAGGTGTTGGTAAGCTGCATGGCCTAAGCGAAGGCGCTCAATTCAAGTTGAAGTCAGATACAGTATTTTACTGTTGCCTCCGGCGCCCTGTGCTAAAGGAAAAAAAGACCACGCGTTACTGTGGACTTTGAAGGTCGACTTATATCAAAGGAAATGTTGCTTCAAGGCGAAATGTAGATGGTAGCCACCCCGTGCACGAAACTGATTAACTCTATTCTAGCCCTCATTTTTGACAATCAATCACGTTGCTCAAAAAGCATATTTTCTTAATTCAAAAATAGGCCTTTGGGTCGTCAGTGATTCCTCTATGCGCCCCAACAGTCAAATTAAGATCTGGGCCTCTCTCATATTGGCAATTGGTCTTTTTCAACGAGCCCAAAATCGCGCACTATACTGGCAACGCGCCGATGATCTACCAGCGTATGATTGACAACGCACTCTGGGGGTTCGTTCAACCTAAAGGAGGTTGGTTTGAATACTCGGAGAGAATGCGTTTAGCTGAAGAACAGGCCAAGGAACGTCGTGGGCCAAGCGCCGAGGGCTCGTTTCAAACGAAGTTCGCGGCAGACCGCGAAGCACCGGTAGAGACCGACCCTGTACTACAACTCGTCAACAGCCCCGTCGCTGACATGTTTACGAGCGGGGAACCAGACAAATCATCGCTGGTACCTGTATTTGGTCGACGGTCGTTTGTGGATGACATTTGCTTCGGTGGCGAGGATTTCGACAGCTGCCTGGCGACGCTGGACCGATTGCTGGCAAGATTTGCACAGTGTCGAATCAGCATTAGCTTCACCAAGAGCATCTTCTGCCAACCCAAGGTGGACTTTCTGTCGCATAAAATTTCGCCAGAAGGTATCAGAGCTGACCCCAAGAAGCTTGCGGCCATCACCGAGCTTTCGTTTCCAACGAGTAAGAAGGGCATGCAGTCGTTTCTTGGAGCGGTTAATTACTACAGTCGCTTCATTCAAGACTTCGCGGTCTACGGTGCAGCGCTGTACCAGCTCAAGGATGAAGACTTTGCCGTTGAAGGCGGCCTATCTGTGGCTGTCGTTCCTTCGAAAAATTGAAGACGAGTGTTTCACATTCACCCATCCTCAGGCATTTCGATCGGTCGAAAGCAGTTCACGTCATGCTCTTTGCGAATAAATGGGCGTTGAGCACTACGCTAATGCAAGAACATGAAGGCAAGTTACACCCCGTACGGTTCCTCGGTCGGGTGCTCAAGGAGGCCGAGATAAACTGCCATTCTGCTGAGAAGGAAGTTTTGGCGTTACTTCTGCTGTTGAAGATCTGTTACGTCCAGCTGGCAGGAAAGACGCTACATGTCTATACACGATTCTCGACGTTAGAGTGGGTGCATAAGTCGAAGTCTCTCTTCGGACGCGCGGTCCAGTTCGCAGTGCTGCTATCGCAGTGGCACCTGAAGGTGCAGCGCGTGAAGGAGAAGGATGTCGCCTTCGCACAGCTCCTCCAGTCAAGCATCACGAGCTTCGTCGACCTGGAAGACTCGCTCGCGCCGGTGGCACCTCCACACAAGGGTTCCCCGACTATTCGAATGGACCCCGCGTTGCTGTACGCCAAGCTTTCCCGTAATTACAGCGGATTCGTCATGTCTTTTGACGGATCAGCGAAGACAGAGAAGTACGGTGGCTACAAGAGTTGTTCATGGGTGCTGTGGAGCCTTCCTGAGTGGAAGGTAGTGATTGCTGCAAACGCTTACCTCTCGGCTACCACGGTGAATGAGGCAGAGTATACAGGTATGATAAACGGTGTCAAGGCTGCTATTGCGCACGGTGCCGAGGATTTAGTCATCGCGGGTGACTCAAGGCTCGCGATTCAACAATTACTAGGGGTGATCGCATGCAGGAAGGAAACTTTGCTAGCGCTGCTGAATACTCACAAGGAACTCACGGCCAAGCTTCGATCAGTAGAATATCTTCACGTTGTACGAGAATACAGCGCTGCCGCGGATTCGTTAGCCACTGAAGCGCTGGAATCGAAGGTCAGTCGGGTAATCTTGGCTGAACTCGCAAGTCGGAATTGGCATCGCTGAATCGCATCCAGGAAATGATCTACGAACCGGATGAAGACTCGGTAGATGTTTGGTCAAGTGGAACAGAGCGTCAAGTACATGTACTGTCAGGCGCAAATCTTCAAAGTGGAAAACTTGCGAAAATTTCGTGGTTGATCACAGCTCACCAAAGTGCGATTATGGTAATATGGCAGTGATGACTCGGCGACAGACGAAAGCCAAGAAACGCGTCAGGTTTGCAGATGAACACTCGGAGGATGTCTCAAAAGCTCAAGAACAGAATGAAGAACGACGAGAAACGTCCACCGAAGATTCAATCGGCGAAGATTTGCCAGACCATTCTCACAAGACTGTACCAGCGGCATTTCCCGATGCGGAAGATGTTGACCCGGTAGCGATACAGCGGGAACGACGCAGACGGATACAGGTGGCACAAGACGAGGAGCAGAAGTGGTTTAACATCAAGAAGGTGCTTCAGGGCCAAGCAGAAGATCTGAGTTACAAAGAAGCTCGAGATGCCTGGAAATACGCTGACCAGTTCGTGTTATCAGAAGACGGCGTGCTTCACTCTCTTGGATTCAATCGTCGGTACGACCACGGTTGGCAAGAGGAGACCAAGCTGCGGCTTGTGGTACCGACAACGATGATTCAAGAGGTCTTGCAGAACTGTCACGACTCGCTGGAAGGAGGACATCAAGGTGTGGTGAGAACGTTCCATCGCGTTAAGTCCGATTATTATTGGATCGGCTTGTACGCTGACGTGGAGAAGCATGTGAAATCATGTCTAGATTGCAGCTCGAGTAAAAGCCGTCCGCAGCTTCGTGGATACTCGCCTGGCAATGTATTAGCCGTACGACCGCTCCAGATCGTCTCGATGGATTTTGTGATCCCACTACCGAAATCTCGCAGGGGCAACACGGCGTTGCTCCTATTTCAGTGATCGTTTACGGGATTCGTTATTGCCAAGGCTATGTCAGATACGACTGCACTGAGTGTTGCCCAAGTGTTCGAAGAATGTGTGTACCGACGATTCGGAGCCCCATCATTAATAAGGCATGACCGCGACCCACGCTTCATGAGCGAGGTTTTCCAAGCATTTGCAGAGATGATGCAGTCAAGATCACGAGCGACTTTGAGCTATCGGCCACAGGCTAATGGACAGCAGGAACGCTCGGTGAAGTCGGTGATGGGTTACGTACGGGTGTACGCGGAAGACCCTCTACAGCAAGACTGGGACGAAATCGCGGAGAAGCTAGTATTTGCTATCAATACTTCTCAAGACACAAGGAGGAAGATAACGCCGTTCTACCTCGTTCATGGTTGGGATGCGCAGTCGACGTTGCGGGCAATGTCGTCATCACTCAAACGAGGACTCGGCAAGCAGTCTGACGCACTGGCGTGGCGGCGCGAGATCAATCGACAACATGAGGTCGCCCTCACTATGGCCAAAGATTATCAGGCTGTAGAAAAGGAGCGAAGGGCTAAAAAGCATAATGATGCTCTGAGTCGACTGGAAAAAGCTGCTGTACCTCAACCAAGTGGAAACGAACACTCGGCGGACCCCCTAGAAGCTTCAGAAGAGATGGAAGATCCTGCAAGAGCCCCACCGAGATCTCTTTTCGAGATTGGGAGCCGGGCGTGGTTGTACATGGAACGCGTCAAACCGGGCTTGACAAAGAAATTAGCTCATCGATGGCACGGACCTTTTCTGATCAAGCGCAAGGTGGAAGCGTTTGCGTACGAGCTGGAACTGCCTGACCGAAGTGGGTATCGCTTCTACCCAGTAGTGCATGTGTCGAGACTCAAGGCTGTCAACGAGTTCAGCAGTCGACCGAACACTCGGTTGGTACTAGACGCGACTAATGAAGCAAGACTCGACTTCGATGAGGAACTACTGCCTGAAGACAGCTGGGAATCAGATCAAGTTGCCGGCGAATATGAAGTCGAGGCCATCCTCGACGACAGAACGCCACTGACGACGAGCACGGAGCGTGCTGTACGCGAGTTCAAAGTCAAGTGGGTGGGCTATGAAGATACAACTTGGGAACCATCATCCAACTTATCATGTGGAGGTCTGCTGTACGACTATTTGCGAGTCAAGAAGAGCGAGAATCGGCTGCAGATGGCGCAAGTGGCGGACGAAGACTAGCGTGACTGGATCACGTGTGAACTGTCCACAGGGCGATGCAGCCTGTGGTAACAGACGAAAAACGTTACTGCAACAACAAATTGTATATGCATTTGAAGAACAACATGAACATGATTACGCTGTGGAAGTGGATTAAGAATAAGAAAACATGAATGCCGACCGCGGAGCGACCACTGAAAACGAAGTCACGCGGGACACCTCAACAGTTAGCTGAGATGCTGGAGAACGTCGTAGAACGTGCAGCGAGGATTCAAATCGATTCCAAGTGTCTGGCCGCGGTGGCCAAGAGTGTCAACGAAGTCGACTCACCACTCTCCTTCTCCTCTTCATCAGGAACCTGAGCCTCGACAGCTGGAGCTACAGCCGGACCCTGCGAATCCTCGGTACCAGCTTCAACAGAAGCAGCA